TTTTATTTTTATCCTTTTGATATTTTTCATATTGTTTAATTGAAGGTTTAATGCTTCTTCATTGTTTTTTTATTGACCGAAATTCAAAATTGTCATTCCATTTTCGTTGAAACCACATTTGTTTTTCATATTTCATAGATTTCTCAACCCCAATATTTCCTCCGAGGATTGTTATTACGTGATAGTTTTCTATGGAATTCTTTAACAATAAAACTGGTTACAGATATTGATATCCAATTCTTCTGAATCATAAACAACAATTTTGAGAAAGTTAAAAGCATTTAATGTGTAAAATGATATTCATTTAATGAAAAGATTCAATATGAATTCAATGATATTTTTTTTTTTGTGACAGAACACTATTCTGATGATTTTTTTCTATATTATTAAATTCAGTTATCATTTTTATGAAATTGATCATGAATGTATTTCCTGACAAGATTTTGATAAAACAATGAAAATTATGGTATCAAATTGTGATACCCAAGAAGAATGTGTACTACTAAAAGCATTAAGCATTATAGAGCCGAGACTAATTCAATGTAACAACTGACAAGGATAAAATAAGGCTCAGCTTGATCTCAATATCTTGCTTTTTGACAGTCATATTTATATAGGTGATCTTAAAATTTGGAATCAATCAATAATTGTGGCTGTGTTATTTTATTAGCCCATATCATCTTGATAATGATGGGCTATTTCGTCCATCCGTCCAAACAAAATTTTGTCATCGCAATTTCTTGAGAGTGCCGGATAGATCTTTTTCATATTTCATATGTAGGTTTCCCTTGTTCCCTAGTTGTGCCCATTTGATTTTGGGACTGATCAGAAGACCAAATGGCTGACAGGTGGCCATCTTGGATTTTTACTTTGCAAGTTTGTTATTGTTATTTCTTAAGAAGTACTGGACGGATCTCTATCAAGTTTTTTTATGTAGGTTCCCCTTTGTCCCTAGTTGTGCCAATTCAATTTTGGGACTGATCATAAAAACAAAATGGCCAATGGGCGGCCATTTTGGATGATGATTTTGCAAGATTGTACTCACTATTTCTTGGAAACTACAGCACAGTTCTTTCTCAAATGTCCTATGTATGTTTCCCTTGATCCCTAGTTGTGTCTGTTTGATTTTGGTACTGATTAAAAACACAAAATGGCCTGCAGGCAACCATTTTGGATTTGGCAGGTAAGGAATACCATCGCTATATCTACAAAGGAATATTCAAATTTTTTATCAGTAAGGACAAAATTAGAGAACAGAAAAGAAAAGAAGGAAAAGATCAGTTTTTTAAAGAGCAAATAAAGATCAAACAACGTTGGATGCCAAGATCCGTCTGGGATCTCTTGTTCAGACATTATGCTATATAGCTAATTCCAGTCTACCAAGTTTCATAATTAGGTACCAGCATTTTTGGAAATACTGGCGTCTTTCCTGAATGGACTCATTATAAGCAGATCTTCCTGTAAATGTTTAACCTGGAAATCGAATGATTTAGCTTTAGCTATGAGAGCAACTTAACATTATGAGCCAATACACTCGGAATGCTTTGACCTTTATCAAATGTCACTTCTGTCTCTTTAAAACCCTAAAAATAGAAACAACAGTCAAAATTGCTCAATTCACAATCTTTCCCAGCCTTTCTGAAAACTACCATTAAGAGTATAAAATGGAGCCATCTGATTTTGATATTGTTGAAATATACAGGCAAAATGCCAGCACCATTTGAAGGCTTATCACTGAGGCGGAAACAAAAACAGTGACTTTGGCTGACTAGTCTTATATTCGTATACTCAGGGCCATTAGGGCACACTAGGGACATGTTCAGAAAGATACTCTATCGTAATATTGCGTTTCTAAACCTATCCTTAATGCTTGTCGGAAGTCTGGTTAACTTAAACTAGAGATAAAGTCATTGTGAAAGCTAGACTGACGTTTTTATTTGATCAAATATTCAATAAGCCGGGAAATCAAAAATACAAATAAAAAAAAAAAAAATTGCTAATGCAACAAAAAATACATTTTATTGAATTCTTGAGGGAAAAGTCAACAAATTTGGTAGAAATAATGGAAGGACATTGATTATAGCAGACGGTTTCTGGTAACCGGTGTTGCCTGCTGCTGTTGCTCTCCGTGCTGTAGGTATATCTATATGTCAACATGGTGGTATTCAGCGATCAATATATATTGGTATTTTTATCAGGACGTTGAGTATGACAGGTTTTCAAATTGTAGATTTTGCCCGAGCTTTTTTCCATCAGGCTCCAGGGAGTTTGAGATACAAAAGGTTTTATGGGTAAAAGGATCGTAAAAGAGGATTTGTTGATGATGGTAGATGAAACACCAGATTTAGAGAAATAAAGACTTGGTAGATTTTGAAAAAAAAAGAGTTACAAGATTAAGAGTGATTGAAAACGACTTTTTGGAGAAATAATAAAAAACTTACCGGATGTAGTTAGAAAGGAAAAAAATATGTTTAAACAAATAAAATTGAGAGATCTTGAAAAAATGGAAAGCTTTACAAGAAATTCAGAATCATATTTGGAGAAATTCAGAATCATCACATTTAGAAAATTTTAGAGGCATCATATTTAGAGAAAAGATGATGATTAAGGATTACAGAATTTAGGAGTTGCCAGATTTAGAGAAAAGATGATGATTTTGGATTTCAGAATTTAGGAGTTGCCAGATTTAGAGAAAAGATGATGATTTTGGATTACAAAAAGAATGAGTTGCCAGATTTAGAGAAATTAGAATCACCAGAGTTAAGAAAAGTGAAGAAAAACAAGATTTATAGAAATTTATAAATTAGCGATCAAGAAATCTAGCAAGAAAATGAGCATCATCAAAATTGTTAAAATGCTGACGAACCCCGTCTGGGGCCAGAAATAATGACCAGATTTAGAGAAATCATAACAGAGAAGGCATAGAGACAAATGATTGGTTAGTCTGAATACTGCTTATACAATATTTGTATTGTTTTGGGGGGAAAATAGAGATGTTTACTAACGTGTGTAGCAATTAAGAAATTACCTTTGTCTAAATTTAGGCATTTGTTCACAATTTTTCAACAGAACTGATTTTATAAATATATGATAAATAATAATGATATATAATATAAATGTGATTTCAACCAGACTGCAACTTGTGTTAAATAATTCATGATGAAATGAATTTCTAAGGAAATTAAAACTTCAGCCATTGATCTGATTTGAGAAATCTGAGCAACTCTCTGTGTTTGAAAACCTATTCCGACAATGTTCATTATATATTCAGAACCTTTTATGTTTGAAAGATCCCAGAGACAAGAAATCCATCGATGTGAAATTTGATTCCTTGTCTAAAGCCTTTTAAGAAATTTTAAAAGGAAATTATTTCAAAGTAAAAAAAAAGTATCAAGTTGTAAAAAATATGAAGACTTTCATATGTGAGGGAGATGTGATATCAGACAGAAAAGAAATCTCATTTAAAATTTTCCTATACAAGAATTTTGATAAAAAAAAAGACATATTTATTACAACTTTAAATCTTGTGTATTCTCAGACCAAGGCGTGCTTTTCAAAAGTCCGAAACAGACACATCCAATTGGGTTTATAACAAGCATTGAGAATTTGACTGTTGATGAAATTCCTCTGAGGGGGGAAACAAACAGCTATTCATCTGACAGACTAATTGGTAATTTGTAAGGAACCACCAGAGGTTTTTTTATGTCAGTTCTGAAATGATTTGTCCTTGTCATGTTATATGGTAGGAGGAGTAACGTGTAAAATTATTTTGTTGTATGTTGTATTCTTGTCAATAATGGATGGATACGAAACTGCATGTTCCAACGATTCCATGAACTAGAAAAAGTGCAAGTGATACATCGATTATTTGTTGTCAAGAAAGAACTCATTGGTTCACACAACTTCTGCATGTTGTATCGAAACTTTCTAATAAAGGACATGTTTATGGATATTTAACAGAATTGATCATCTCTGTATGACGGAGATCGTGAAATGCAAACCCTGATGAGTGACAGTTTTAGCATAAACCCGTAGCACCGTCCACCAAGACACGAGAATAAAATACTTTGCCACTAATGGATAATCATCGTTTTTCTCTCTGTTATTGTCTTGTTTCCTGTGATTTTTTTATTTTTTCATATTCAAAAATCTGTTTGTGGATTCATTGGTGAAGTCTATTCCAAGAAAACAAATAAATAAACATTGAGTTTGATACTTTTTGTACTCTCATGATTATGAGCTTTAGAAACATGTGACTTTAACATACATCTATTAGAGGTTCAGGTATTTGCTATATACAGGTGACCTTTGTAGACAGGTATTTTACATATCCAAGTGACCTTTGTAGACAGGTATTTTACATATCCAAGTGACCTTTGAAGACAGGTATTTTACATATCCAAGTGACCTTTGTATACAGGTGTTTGTTACATACAGGTGGTCTTAATACACAGGTATTTGTTAAATACTGGTGACTTTTCTAGGTAAGTATTTGACATATCCAAGTGACCTTTACACGCAGGTATTTATCATATACAGATAACCTTTGCACACAGGTATTTGTTATATACAGGTGACCTGTACACACAGATATTTGTTATATATAGGTATCCTTTATAGACAGGTATTTTTATATACAGGAAACCTTTACAGACAGGTTTTACTGTAAAATGTATTCATGAAACTCTTAAGAAATTTTCTTATTAGCTATGCATTTCCACAAGTATTTCATATTCTCATCAAAATTGAACAAGTTGATTGAAGTCAATGCAAATCATGTTCTGTATTTCAACTTTTGTTTTAAGTTGATTGGTATTGTATATTTCCACACTTTAGGTCCTGGATAACATTCCAGAGCCCAAGAAAGAGCTATTTTTCAAAAAAAATTCTTTTAGCATGGTATCATTATCTATCCTTCAATGATTTTCACAAACCGAAAATAGAGTTCCAGAATATTTTGAAAAATGGTCCAGAGTATTGAGATTTTGTAACTATTTCAGGGTCGGCCTGGAATTTTGATGACGACACAGACTCGACTGCGTCTTCGGAAACAATGACCAGCGGTGCCTCAGAGGATGGTCACCAGCGTCCATCTAGCCAGTTGTTCTACACAACACCTCCAAAGGCTGTAAGTACTGCACAAACAGCAAATGGTTATAGCTTTCTGTGTTTCAATCATTAATGACTATTTAAGGTTAAAAGTTTCGTCAAGTTAGTTAATTACAACAACTAGAAACCCAACTAGTGAAAAATAAACAAACAAAGCATATCTCTGATAGTGTCCTTCATTCTCATACAGACAACATCTTAGAGCCATGTTTAAAATATTTTTTGGAAAATAAAAAATGAAACTGAATGTTAGATGAGTGAATCTTCGTTGATTGAATGAAGTGTTGTTGTCCTGCGATTTAGCTATATTGTTAGATCTTGGCTCTCTTCCAATTAGTTCAGATCTCCTGTGGTTTCATAGCTTTTTATCACCAAAAATGCATCATGTTAAGGTCAGAAAGTAAACAAAATCCAACTTGAAATGACATTTTTTTTATTGTTCATTAATGATTAGTAAAAATCTACTCTGTGTAAGAAAGTCTACAGGTTCTAACGACATGTAACATAAAGAAAAAACACAGTATGTTAATTGTGCATCAATGATGTTGATCTTTTTTGGTTAATGTTGGTGTATCAAAAAATTACTTCACATTTTCAAAAATTAAATGCAAATAGTTTGTGTTTTATATAACTTGATCTGTTTTTCATGGATGAGATCGTGAAAAGAAGGATTGTGTTACAACGATTCTATATCTATACATGTGCTTCAATGTATAAATATTTTCTTTTTCAATGTAAATCACACTTTTACATGTACAGACTAGTGGAGTAATCTTAATACTAGCTCCAGGTTAAAAACGTCGAGATAAAAAGTCTATAAGCCTGGTCTAATTTAAATAGAATACACAGATATCTTCTGTGAAGAAAATTTCAATGGATTTGTTGGTAACTATAGTGCCACGCTAAGGTTAAATCTCTAAATTGGTCAGGATAAGGTGAACAGAATACCATTCAGTCAAAAGGTCATACTTTAATGGTCGAAAGAGGCACGTTAATCATTCCGATCTCGTTAATAGCTAAATAAAAATTGATGAGAATCCAAACATTTTTGCTCCAAAACAAGTTTTGATTTTAAAATTTCCCTTGGATTACACAGAAGGGAAATACTTAATTGAAAATATTAATTTGGAATCTATTGCCAAGGGCTAATGTAGATTATACCTTAAATCAGTCGAAATGTGAAATATTAATGAAAATTATACATTTCGAATCTAATTAAAGTTTCTTTACTGGCTTTGCAGCATTTCTATGTGGTTTGATGGTGTCTTGTCTGTCAGTATCCCAAGTTCAATGAAATTGGCATGGGATATAGGAACAAGTGCGTGGGTGCATGCATGCATGCCTGCATGTGTGCGTGCGTTCATGCATCTATTCATTGTACTCCAGTTTCTAGATCATATTTCAAAGATCATTGCTGATTTTATCTTCAAACTCTGCACATAACCTGATCACAATGCTGAGGGGTGCCTATATCAGTTATTTCAAGTTTTCTCATGTCAATAAATTTCCAATTGTCATGAAATTGACATCCAGAATTTATTAAATTTTGATGCATTTATTTCTTGAGTACATGTACGTCTCAAAAACAGAATTTGATTACACATAAGTTCATTTCTTTACAAACAAATGACTTTCACTATTTTTATTGTACCATTTTCTATGCCGGCTTTATTGCCCTACGGATAGCCAGGGTCATTTTGAAATGGGGTCGTTTTGTGATAGCTGGTGGCTGCCTTACTGTATAAAACACAGTAGGCCCATCGCCTGCCGTACTTGTCTGCTGAAAGGCTGACAGCCCGTAATAGTGGACATCAAACCCATTAAATAAATAAATGCATGCCATCCAGAGCAAATTAGGGGAAAGGTATCATTTGCTAAAAAACACAACACACATCAGCAGCAAATGGTCTCTTCAGAAGCTTCCTGTGACAAACACAAACCACCATGGGAAGGGAAGGTTGAACAATACGCCTTAGACTTTTACCTGTGGTAATGTAGACCAATATTCCCGACTCAGATATTTTTGCTTCCTTAGTCTGATTTGGGGAATTTTCTTAGACTTGTCAGTACCAAATATATGTTAATAGTTTTCACTTTTTTCTTTTTTGAACCATTTATCCATAGTGCTTACTGAAATTGTGAAACTTTCACATATAGGGTTTTTTCTTTTTGCTTAGAGTGAAACTCGAAAACAACCTCTTCATTACCATTTTACAAGTCATTTTCACTTTCACTCACAAGGCATGCTGGAGGCTTAATAGCGATAAAGGGTCTGTTATGGCCCGAACATCATACATCGTATTTGTGAAGATTTTAACAAGTTCGTACAAGTATAAAAACATGTATATGTAATTTCTCTTATTGAATTTTATCTGCGTTTACGCAGCATCTGAATTGCAAATTGAAGTGATAAGGTAACTTTTTCTAGATTTAGGTTAATGGTTTGTGCTACTCAAATAGGAGACTTTCACCAGACAAGGTTTAACATAATCTTACCAACAAGGATTGGATGTGATCTCAGAAGACAAGGTTTGAATGTGATCTCACAAGACAAGGTTTGAATGTGATCACACCAGACAAGGTTTGAATGTGATCACACCAGACAAGGATTGGATGTGATCACACCAACAAGGTTTTAACATAATCTTACCAACAAGGTTTGAATGTGATCTCACCAACAAGGATTGGATGTGATCTCACTAGACAAGGTTTGAATGTGATCACACCAGACAAGGTTTGAATGTGATCACACCAGACAAGGATTGGATGTGATCACACCAGACAAGGATTGAATGTGATCACACCAACAAGGTTTTAACATAATCTTACCAACAAGGTTTGAATGTGATCTCACCAGACAAGGTTTGAATGTGATCACACCAGACAAGGATTGGATGTGATCACACCAGACAAGGATTGAATGTGATCACACCAACAAGGTTTTAACATAATCTTACCAACAAGGTTTGAATGTGATCTCACCAGACAAGGTTTGAATGTGATCACACCAGACAAGGTTTGAATGTGATCACACCAGACAAGGATTGGATGTGATCACACCAGACAAGGATTGAATGTGATCACACCAACAAGGTTTTAACATAATCTTACCAACAAGGTTTGAATGTGATCTCACCAACAAGGATTGGATGTGATCTCACTAGACAAGGTTTGAATGTGATCACACCAGACAAGGTTTGAATGTGATCACACCAGACAAAGTTTGAACATGATCACAACAGTTACAGACAATAGAAGATACATGAAGTGCATTTTCAAAAAATAAAAACTATACTTTTTCAAATAGATCTTTAACTTTTTCAATTTTGATTTTCAATTTATATGTGACAAATTTTGAAATCGGAACCGATTTGATACAAATATGTGTTGCAAGCAAAGTTGTATCAATAACGTTGTGATGAAATACTACCCATTAAATATCATGTGTGTTTTAGTGTGTTTTGTAAAAACTGTTAAAATCCTTTTAAAAAATGTAAAAAAAAACGCTTAATAAATCAGAAGACTTTCAAATCAGACAGAAAAATCCCCTTAATTGGTTAAAATTTTATATTCATCAATTTTTCAAATCTAAAATGCATTTCATTAATTAATACTATTTTCAAAATGAATATAAAATGTTTTCTATTTCAAAACATTGGTGAAATTTTTAGCTGTTCTTAGAAATGATGTTCTTTAACTTGTATGAATCGAAATGTAATTATTTGGAGCTTAAATCAGTGGGACTCAATCCTGCAAAATCAGGGAGGGCTGACAGTAATGTTATTACTTTGGACCGGAAAACAGACCGATAATACCTTTCTGTTGGTTCACATGATAGCAATGTTCAGTACTCCAAAGCCAAACTATGATCGGGTGAATACATCTTATGAATATCTATTCTAGTATCAAGATATGTATTTAATTGGAAGAGAGCAGGCTTGTGTGTGTTTACAGGTGGTAGAAACTTTATATCCTTTCGATATTTTATCTACAAGAATGTCCTTGTGGGACCAAGATCCTCTCAAACCTGACTTGATGGGAGCACAATGATTGTCGGCTGTGACAAGGACCTTTAAATCTTTCCAAGTTTGCTGACATTGTAAACAAATGCGTTAATGATACCACTGTCAAATTAACAGGAGCGATCATATTTTCACCGTTTCTTTGTCAGTTGTTAAATTCCAGTGCTGTTGAATTGATATCACACAACAATGATCTGATGTCAACCTAAACAACAATAAATAATTATGGACATGAATTGATTTAGATCACGTGGTTTGTTTTTGCCATTCCAGTTGTGTATTTCAAAAATATTTCCTTAATTATCTCGTAAAGCTAATCTGAAAATTGATGACAAATAATCAGTGCTTAGAATTTGATCTCTGCTCCAGCACGCCCTCAAGGCCCCAATTTCACACAATTGGTGTTCAGAAATTTTTTTATTTTTCTAATATGAGAACCTAGCTACCTTAACAAATGCTGGTCGTCTCTATAACAGTGATTGATATACAATTTTTATACATCTACACATTATTCTTAGACGTCCGTCCTCAATATTGGTATGAAAATTGTCTCTGAGCTGTTAATACAGATGGATATTGCCTAATGAGACAAACAAACATTGTTCCTATAGGCCCTCTTGATTAAGGCCCATTTATTTCTGAAAATGAATATTTAAATTATAAGATATTTGTTTTGCAATGATTCTATTGTTTTTCCACCTGTAAAATTGGACCGTTGAAGACATTCTTATTTAACAAATTACCTTCTAATCTGTGTGCGTTTTTGATGCAGTTGAAAGTACTTTGTAATTAAGGTTGTAGGAGTTTTTTGTCCATTAGTATGCCATTCTTTTGGTATATTGCATTTTTGACAGAGTTTTGTATAAAACTCCAACATTATGGAAAAAGTGGAATTCTATAATCTTCATGAATATCAGACAAACTAAAGTCAATATTTAGTCAATTCCAGTTAAATCCTTTTCTAGAAATCAAACTGTAAAATAGTGTCTAGGGTAGTAGGAGTTGTGTCCCTTGAATTGTGATGCTGTCAGTCTATACCAGAAATGTTGAAATCATTGTTGTGTTGTGTGGGTTTGTAAGGGTACCATCTGACTGTAGGAAAATAAACCACAAGATTTCTTTACTGATAATAAGATTTGTTTATAGTTTGTATCGTGGATGAGATGAACTGATCACAATTTTCCTCATTTAATTTGAGTTGTTTGATGACATGTGCAGGGCAACTTAGAGCCTAAATGTCAAAACCATCGAGACCTTTTTTTTTTTACTGGTACTGTATTATTCAAAGAGCATCTTTCTTCATTTTTTTTTTTTTTTTTTTTGATAATTTTCCATAATGTTTGAAAAAAAAATGAATAACACTTTTATTGTCTAGATCATCCAAGCAGATAGAATTGTTTTCCTTATATTATTAATTGTATCTTTCCATAGAAATTCTAAAGTTCTTAGTTTTTTCTCATACAGACACGGCAACCTTGAAATTAACTACTCCAGGAATATTTTCAAACTTTGAAGTAAGAAAATAAAAAATTGTCATCATGACTTTTATTTTAAAATCCAGGGAGGAAAGATGTTTGAAATAAAATTGTACAATCCGTTCTCTACACAAGAACAAATCTTCATGACTCTCAATGTGATAAGGCCGATTTCACAAACCTTAATTGAAATCAAGACAATTTTTTTTTAAACATGCTGTCATATTCATGAATGTAACATTACTTGGAAACTCTGTAAGGGAGGAAGACCCTTTAAATCTTGGTGCCAATTCAAGACGAGTTACCAGAAAAACCATTAATGAATCCAGAAATCCAATTAGTTCAATGAAAAAAGCAGTAGAAAACACAGCATTTTTAGAGGATCAGTTCGCAGAAAGGCAGTCAAATGCACTTTTCTGAGGCTTAAATATCTTAACAGAGAAATTTTAGATAGCAAGTATTCTAAATTTAGTGATCAAGGTATTCTTAATCCATAAATTTATATTTCCAGGAATTAACAAGAAATTTTCATCCATGAAATGAACTGCAATTAACCCTTATTCTGTATTTATTATTGTTTTGATAACTGCAAAAAATGAGCTTCATGAAAAAAACCTGAAAGTTGCTTAAAAGAGGAAGACAAAAATTAGATTTTAAAAAAAATCACAATTCTATTTGACAGAAATATATTTGAAAATGACGATAATATCTGTGTATGGTTTAACTGTACATACCAAGTACATGTGTTTTTGTAAATACACAGGCTCACAAATGGTTTACAGACAGTTTCACTCTGGTCCTCATTATTGTAAATTGTAACTTTTGAATCCTTGGGAGGAGGTAGCGTGGCCATTATCTCTTTCTGAAACAGCTCTATTCATGTTTTCTAACATCTGGCCGACTGCAAGCAGAGCAAGGAAATGTCTGAAGCATTGTTAGTTTTATATATAAAATACAAATATTTTATTTCATTAATCAAATTTTTACTATATTTTTTTCTATTTTCAATAATATTGAATAATTTAAGATACTTTAAATCAGAATTTGAAAAAATTGCTAAAAAAAAAAAAAATCACAAATTTACAGATATATGAGAATTAACTTTCTGAGATGAAGTTGACTGAGCTCCAGATGTAGTATTTTGCCTGTTGAAGATATGTATGTAATTCAAGTCAAAAGGAGTCGGAACCATCTTAGATGGATGTTGCTTCAACGGAACAGGTTCAATGGGAGACAATGTGATTATAAACAATATTTAATAGATTGTAGTGTATTTTCTTAAGTGATGTCATAATTTTCATAAGATCTTTTGACAAGTATTCTTATTTTCCCCGTCATCTTTACAGAACATGGTGCGGAATCAGGAAGAGAAAAGGTATGTATACATGTTTTTGATGGATAAAGATACTTAGATATGTTATTGGTTACCTGTAAAATTGTGAGCTTTTCCTTTTTCACTGTGTTCACCCATACTTGATAAATGAATTACCTGATAAGTTCACCCATACTTGATAAATGAAGTACCTCATAAGTTCACCCATACTTGATAATGAAGTGTCTCATAAGTTCACCCATACTTGATAATGAAGTGTCTCATAAGTTCACCCATACTTGATAATGAAGTGTCTCATAAGTTCACCCATACTTGATAAATGAAGTGTCTCATAAGTTCACCCATACTTGATAAATGAAGTGTCTCATAAGTTCACCCATACTTGATAAATGAAGTGTCTCATAAGTTCACCCATACTTGATAAATGAAGTGTCTCATAAGTTCACCCGTACTTGATAAATGAAGTGCCTAATAAATTCACCCATACTTGATAAATGAAGTTCCTCAAGTTCACCAATACTTGATAAATGAAGTACCTCATAAGTTCACCCGTACTTGATAAATGAAGTGCCTCATGATAAGAAATCATCTGTCGACGTCTAAATGTGGATTTTACAATTGGTTGCTGTATCTCAAAACTTAATGTTTCAAGGCCTTCTGATCTTTTTATAAACCAAACAAATGAAATTTATGCTGTAAAATAATCTATTTTCAAGGAGAATTTTTTGTTTGAATTCATGAATGCTCTAAATCAAGGAATCTGTTTCAAATGAAAATGAGGTCAATTTTTGAAAACCGTGAAATTTAAGCCCCCAAAAAATGCATAGATTTACAGTAATATTGATGTATGTCTTCTTCACTTCAATTTTGTGAATTCTGATATTAACTTTATGCCATTAATATTCACAATCTGTATTAAATTATGATTTCGAATATTCAAAAATAAAACATCTTTAAAATATGTGGTTCAAAGTTCATCATATCATGTTAAGGCTATAGTTGTATGTCTTTAACGATTGCTTCGTATCAATTTAACACCAAACATTAAATTGACATTAATCTTAACCTTGCACACAATAATTCTCATAGAAATAGGGTATCATTTATTTGACAATAAGCCAATGTTTTATAATAAGCCCACCTATGTTTATAGCAGAGTCACTAGAAATATCAGCTTATTCCTACTGTCCACCCCTTACAATCCTATATATTTTTTACCTCCATCATTTGAGTCATGGATGTCAGCCCCTGGGCTCAATGCAGAATAGATACGGTATTTTAAAAGCTCTTAGCTCAGTACAGACTCTGACCACCCATATAGGTGTGAAGTGCTGACCTTTTGAGAGGCTTATATTTTATGATGGAAACATTTGTATCTTGAACTCATTCACTGAACTAGCGTCTATTTATATTCTCGTTTTCGGCCCAATCATAGCCCTAATCGCGCTTCTTTTGAAGTCATGCTTTCTTTATCCAATTTTTTTGACACGTTTCTTTTCAAATGTTTCAGCTACATAGCATTTGTATGACATTTTTTATTCATAGATATAAGTTTCATATAAATATTTTAAAATCTATTTCATTTGACCCAGCAGTACAGTACATTGAGTTTAAAAAATCTTTGTAAGTCTTCTTTGTATGGCAAATGACTACAGCAAAATGGCTGTTAGGCTGAAATTAGGGCAACTGCAATTATGTTCACTTAAAAATTTTAATTCATAGAAGAATAATGTGTGCCAAAGTTTAATATTTTTCAGCTATATTACCTGGCTTATCAAATGACATTTAATTTTCTTTCTGATAGTCTAATCATTATATGACAGGTTTGTTTGTGAAAAAATCTTAGCAGATGAATTATGAAAAGTGATATTTTCCCTGGTGTACAAACAAAATATTTAAGAGTGCAGTTATTTAACATGAAATTACAAATACTTTGGTCATTATGTTTTTTCTCCTTTTTGAAGATAAATGTTTTCAGAAATATCCCATTTGAAATTAAATTTTGAAATTCAGAAAATTTTAATTTTTAGTTATTTAAGCTGACTATGCTTATGCATGTAATTGGTAAGTTATACTGCCTATCAAAGATTTGTCAGGTTAATGGGATCCATAGAGGATTTTAAATTTCAGTCAGCTTTTCAACAAATTTGAAAAAAAAATTTAATGAAATTTAAACTGAAACTATTGACCTATGATAACTATCAACAGAAAATTACAAGTTAAAAAAATTGAACACATAAGAAAGCAATGGGTTGATTTTATAGGATGAATATTGGCTTAAGCTGACAAAGCTTTGAGGGTTTATTACAGCGGGTTTAGGGGCACTAGTACCTACATAGACACCCTTTCATAGATATACCAACCTCTGCACCTAAAGTACACAAATTAATTTTTCCATGGTATTGAAATGTCTGTACACTGTCTTTCAAAAAGAATCTGAGAGATTTAAATATGGGTAGGACACTTTCTTCTGTCCCTTTCCTGTTAAAATCTGACAGAATTTTTTTATTGTGCCGCATTTAAACAGAAAAGGAAAGTAATGATACCGATTACTGGCTGAGCAGAAGGGGCCCAGACATGTTATATGGAGAATTTGAGGTGGGCCCTGTGAAATTGTCTTTGTCGGGTATAAAAGAAAACTCATTTATTTAAATTCTGTCACAGTGTTAGGACATTAAATCTACACCAGACTTTTGTTTATTGTGGCGTTGCTGAAAGGAGTGATACAATAAGTCAATCTATTGTGTATACATGTCGATCATTGTGTATTGTTATTTTTGGCCTGTCTTTATAAAGTGACGAGTCCATCATTGAAAGTTCTTAAGCAGTATTTCGGGGTAATTTTACCTTAGTGTACCTCAAAGGGGTCACAGAAAGGGAATTATCACAACAATTTACCGGTATGACGGATAATGAAAAACGGCACACATTTTATCTATGTGGTGTTATGTATATTCATCTGTAGAGTTTGACACTGTTATTGTGACTTTACAGACTGGAGAGCTCGGGTGGACTTTACAAGATTGGACGACGTCTGAGTCAGAAGGATAAAGGCAAGGATAATCTGTGGCAGCAGAGACAAAGATCTGTCAGTTTGGACTGGTAAGTTACCTGTCAGTTTGTACTGGTCAGTTGTCAGTCAGTTTGGACTGGTAAGTTGTCGGTCAGTTTAGACTAATATGTTGTCCGTCAGGTTGGACTGGTAAATTGTCTGTCAGGTTGGACTGGTAATTTGTCTGTCAGGTTTTACTGGTAGGTTGTCTGTGAGGTTGAAGTGGTAAGTTGTCTGTGAGGTTGAAGTGGTAAGTTTTCTGTTGGGTTGGACTGGTAAGTTGTCTGTCAGGTTGTCTGGTAAGTTTTCTGTCAGGTTGGACTGGTAAGTTGTCTGTTGGGTTGGATTGGTAAGTTGTCTGTCGGGTTGGACTGGTAAGTTGTCTGTTGGGTTGGATTGGTAAGTTGTCTGTCGGGTTGGATTGGTAAGTTTTCTGTTGGGTTGGACTGGTAAGTTGTCTTTTGGGTTGGACTGGTAAGTTGTCTGTAAAGTTGGACTGGTAAGTTGTCTATCGGGTTGGACTGGTAAGTTGTCTGTCGGGTTGGACTGGTAAGTTGTCTGTGAGGTTGGACTGGTAAGTTGTCTGTGAGGTTGGACTGGTAAGTTGTCTGTCAGGTTGGACTGGTAAGTTGTCGGTCAGGTTGGACTGGTAAGTTGTCTGTCAGGTTGGACTGGTAAGTTGTCTGTTGGGTTGGACTGGTAAGTTGTTGGTCAGGTTGGACTGGTAAGTTGTCTGTCGGGTTGGATTGGTAAGTTTTCTGTTGGGTTGGACTGGTAAGTTGTCTATCCAGTTGGACTGGTAAGTTGTCTGTCGGGTTGGACTGGTAAGATGTCTGTCGGGTTGGACTGGTAAGTTGTCGGTCGGGTTGGACTGGTAAGTTGTCTGTCAGGTTGGACTGAAATTATCTATGAATTCAAACCTTAGTCTATTCTTACTTCTGAAGTAAGTGTCCTCTGTCGCTGTGCATGTCTATTTCTGATGTAATTGTAACCTGTAATGACTGTAATTCACCCTTACTTCTGATGACAGGCACGTTCATAACAAGGTTGATGTAATTAAGGGAAAGTTTTACAGATGTCATAATGATCTCATTCAGAAAAGCTGGACATACTTGATGCTTGTTAGGTTACCTGTTGGTTCTGTTGTTGTCATTTAAGAATATGACATTCATTACTTGGATGGACTAAGATTCACATGACTTGTGTTGTCAATGAAGCAGGAGATGCTTACTCTTCCTGAACACCTGGTCTTATTCTACTTGTACTTTTTCAGGGGTTTCTGTGTAAATCTTTCTTTTGTTCATATTTTGTCCTAGCTTTATGGAATTTGAGATTGGATTATGATTATGTTGGTATTTTCTTGTTGATTCTGATATAAGTGTCTCTTGTAGTGGCTGTTGAGTATTGTTGCAGTAAGTAAATTTATACAGAAAGATAGACTAGAACTTTTGGGGTTAAGTAACAAAGATGAAATTATGCCAGCTGAACGTGTTGAACTGCACTCTCTATATATTTGTACTACTGTGACAAGTAATTTACTAGCATGAAGAAAACAAAAAGGTCAAGGTTAACTTTTTAAAGGTCAAAGGTGATGTTATCTTTTGTTTGTTTGAGCCTTAATCTCTTTAAGTAATTTTTTCTTTGAGATGGTTTAGAAACAATGAAGTTCACTTGTAAGCAAGTATGATAAAAGCATTACAGTAAGTTTCAGACAAACATCTCTAGACCAGAAATTGCATGGGACATATATATTGATAGGCTAGGTGTAAGATTGAACAGAACATTGTGATTCCAAGGTACTCATATGTACTTTAATGACATGTTAAGCCTCCTATCAAGTAGCTGTTAATAGCTGGGACCAACCGCATTTAAACTATTACAATCTGTCCTGGTGTTATCGGGAGAATTAGTTTTTGAGGCTCCGTGGCTATTAAACGTTAATGACCAGTGACCTCTCTGCAAAGGTCCGTGGGGTCCATCCGGTGAGATATAGCTGTGCTACTGTGACCTTGTCAAAAGGGAATTCTACAAACACAAGTTAAAAACAGTCAATGATTTACAAAAAAAATTGATCATATAAAATTGGATTATGGTGAACATAGCAATAAAAACTTCGATCTTATCCTGTTATCAAAAGACTAACTTTGATACAAAAAAGATGTATATTGAGTATCTAGCACATATGGTATATATTTTCTGATTTTTATTTTAATTCTGTGTTTACATTGTCAATATGGCTCTAGTCAGTTGTCTTAACAGGAAAGTTTGGAATGATAAAGTTCGTATGAAAATCTACACTATTCCACATCTCAAAATTTTACAAATGTATTTCTTTAAAACTTTTGAAATGATAATGATTACGTTAACTCTGTACAGAGATTTTTAAATCTACAAAAAAAGTTTAATGACATAGTTTTGTTATATTCAGTGAGTAAAAAAGCCAAGATTGAAGATATTGAAGAACCTAAAAATTTCTAGTGGCAAAAGGGCTGATATCTACTGGTATTAATTAGCTAATAGGATAAAGTTCAGATTGTGAGGGGTCAAGGATTCATAGGTGTCCAGCTGCACAGGAATGGCCACAGTGGCGGAGTTGTCATGGCGTCTGATTGTCTCTAGCATTAGCCCTCAACTTCTGGGTTGCAAGTTTTAGGCCTGTGGGAGGCAGTCGCCAAGTACTGTAGGCTGTAGGTTGTTGTTTTATCTAGAAACTTCAGCTCTCCTCTGCCACCCAATCCTTACACATCCTTAAATGACTGTGCTTGTTAATAGGATACTGTAAAATTTAACTAAGCTGCATTGGGATTGAAAGATTCAAAAGTGAAGCTATTGTCCTTATGGAGAAAGCCGTAAAGAGAATCACATTACATGCCAAATCACTCCTCTACCATTGTAGAGAAAAACATAAACAACACGAAAACTTTGGTCTCTACGTTTTTTTCTTTTGGGAAATTTGAGCTTGTTTAAGTCAAGAGTTTATCTGTGATTTGCTGGTTTATCTATGAAATACAATCCTCGTATTTAATTCAAAACAAATTCAGAGTATTCCCCCTGTGTGAAGTTTGTTGTGAAACGTATACCTATGTACTAACTATGTATTCATTGATTGCCTACCTGTACACACAGGTGAGGTATCGACACATTTACTGGTCAATTTTGACACGGGCAGGGAGGGTAGACCCGTAACAGAATCAGATATACAAAACATATCTGATGTAGACCAAACCTTGGTTAATTGGGGAAAAATCATTTAATTGTTTGAGGGAATTGATGTGTGGTTCATGCTGTCTTTGGGAGGGTATGCATAAATGACCCCCCAAATCGTCACAACGGCCTACAAGGTACAATGCATACCTGTGTCGGTTGTAGCACTGAAACATACACCAGGTGATCCTAGAGTGTATGTGTGTATTATTGAATACGTTCTGGCATGCCTGCATATTAAAATTACCTATTGATAAGGCAGAATTCTTTAAATACAGGGATCAAAATAGCTAATGTCTTACGTTGTTCATACCTAAGATATTGTCCTCAGGGATTTAGCTCGCCCTAATCTTGTTAATTTTTCATTGTGGACGTTTATTCACAATCTTAATGACACAGAAATTATTGAATGTAAGTATGATATATATTGAGTCTAGAATTCCTGTTTTACTGCTTGTGTCTTTGGTAGTTTTTAACATTACTCAATTTACATATATGTTATTTACTACAGTGCCGTAAATTTATTTCCCGCAGTAAATGTCATCATGATTTTTACTAAATTTATCCTTGTTTATTTTGATATCCACCTTTCAAGACGTGTGTTGATACCACAAATGTGTTTATCTGAAGTCAAACAATGAGAAGTGTTGTAATTCACACGAAATGTTCCTTCATATTCCTCGGATTTATTGATTAATATGACTGGACAGGGATTTATACAACCTTATGAGGTAAATGTATGCTTTACGTGAGATTTCGCTGTGAACCTTTTCCCAGACTACACTTGTAGAAAAACTTAATTAATTCAATAAAGTATGAAGTCATGGAACAGGTGCTTTAATCTGTTAAAAAGGCAATTTTTACATATATAAATAATGAACCTTTAAGCTTGGATTTTAACATTTTACATGTCATTTAATTTAACATTTAACTGATTTGCACTCAAAATGTTACATTAAATATTTTAGTATATTGTACTACATGAGGAGGGGGGATCTATCAAGCATGACAATTTCCATTTAACTGTAATAAATCACAAAATTTTAGTTAATTTCTCATTCTTTTGAGCTAAAACCTAGATATTTGAATATCTATATTCAAATAACGCAATATTGAAACATATACGGGTGTTTTTGTAGCAAAGACTATTTGAGATACAGCAGCACTTGTCTGGGAAAACTTCAGTCTGTGAACAGTAGATTTTGAAAATGTATAAACAGTTCTGTGATTGAAAACCAAATTTGTGAATGTTTCATGTTATACAAACTAGACCTGAATTGGAAATAGAAATATCTAGATATCCAAAATAAAATAATGTTTTGAGGGAGTTTATATGTAGATTTACTTTAACTGTGTGAAAGTGATATTTTAAACATGGGGACGATATTTCTGGTCACATGACCAAAAAGCAGAGGCTGGTTATGATATTGTCTAAATTCCCACCGTGGGGGTTGAATTTTCTCTTGCAAACCCTCCATACAGGGGATGATTCTGTTTCATTGATATAAGCAGTCACTTCCTTGTGATGTGGACAGAGTTTTCTAAGGTTTATCACAAGGCTTTCTTTCCTCCCCTATTTTCTGAGCATACAATATTGGAATATGATGAACTGTGTACATCATGCCTTATATATATTTACACAGTCTTTCTCATTGAAAGCTGATAGTGATAATTTAGTTTATTGTTTCAATGATGTCATCTTGTTGTTTCAATGATGTCATCTTGTTGTTTCAATGATGTCATCTTGTTTCAGTGATGTCATCTTGCTGTTTCCATGATGTCATCTTGTTGTTTCCATGATGTCATCTTATTGTTTATGTGATGTCATTTAATTGTTTATGTGATGTCATCTTATTGTTTATGTGATGCCATCTAATTGTTTATGTGATGCCATCTAATTGTTTATGTGATGTCATTTAATTGTTTATGTGATGTCATCTTATTGTTTATGTGATGCCATTTAATTGTTTATGTGATGCCATCTTATTGTTTATGTGATGCCATCTAATTGTTTATGTGATGCCATCTAATTGTTTATGTGATGCCATCTTATTGTTTATGTGATGCCATCTTATTGTTTATGTGATGTCATCTTATTAATTCCCTGGTGTCATTGTGATAAACACATACCAGTAATTTCTGACATGAAGTGGGGAAGTGTGCTTGACATGGAACATAGAAAAAGTACTAGTTGACATTTCACACGGATATAGGTGGGCCTGTTAACCGATATGGGCTTATTTCTGGATAAATACAGTAAAAGTTTCTGAGGGAAAGTCACAATGATGTAGATTCAATAGGAAAAATTTCTCAAAAATCTACATGGGATTAATGATCAAATTATGGCTAAGTAAAAAAAAAAATAATAATGTCAACTTATCTCCACATACAGATGGTTTACGAAATTACCTACAAAATCAAAATAGTAAAAAATCAGCTTTTTAGTTATAAAGTTTTACATCAGATATTTATGGGCCTCGGAACATCCATTATTTGAAAATAACTTTCTAACACTCTCAGCAGTTAGTCTGCTGGAATGTGTTTTACAGATGATAAAATTGGAGGAAGCGGGCCATCATTTTACTGGAGAGGACATTCATACCAAATAGTTCTTGCGCTAGTTATCATAGTGAATTATTTTCTCACAGTTGGAAGTGAAGACAAAGTTGCTTTTACGAGACCAGGTGTACAGATTGAGAAAAAAAAAAACATTCTGTCTAAACTGGGTGTGATTTAAATGAAAATCTTTACACAAAATTTATTCTTTATTTAAGAAATTTGAATGTTATAATTACACAATAAGATAAGTAAGCAAAAGTAAATAAATACACAAATACAATAAATCAGAAAAAAGTATTGTCAGCTTAATGCATGTAAAACTTCAAAAGTCCGAATGGATTGTTTTTATTTGTTTTTTTTTTTTTTTTGTTTTTTTGTGAGTGGAGCGATTCATTCTGACATTTTCTATCTTCTTTAATTAGCATATGATGTAAATTTCTGTTCAAAGTGATTATTTGGAGTAAGGCATTCTTACAGCAGTCATGTTTTAAATGAAAAGGGATTAATAGGTGAAAAGGGACACCAGGACTGGACTACAGGACAGGCCTGTGAGGGAGATGTTACCTTATCCTGGATTTTAATTTTCTCATTTCAGTGGAGATGGAAGGAAAATCAAGATTTTTATGAGTGAGAATGAGAATACAGGAGTAGCCGATGTGCCAGCACTCTTGCCTTCGTCCCCAGGATTACCTGCTCACATGATGAACTTCGGGGCAATGAGCACGCCAAACAGGCCGAAAACACTCACAGGTATCTACATAGCTTTAAGCATTATCATATGATCATTTCATTTTCAAATATTTTTGTTTTATTCGTACATTCAGTTGTTTAAGGGTTTGTGACCTCATCAAAGCATGTTATTCAAAGTGAGGTAGTGGGCTTATTACAGGACAATGACAAAGTATTTGTTGGTATTTGGATTTAAAGTCCAAGAGATGGAGTTGTGTTTATTTTTCACTGCCAAAATCTTTACAAGGTAAAAACTGGCGTTACATAAAAGAGGAATATATTCTAAGGAATACTAAGGTGTTATATGTTCCTGAAAAAGGTCGTCATTGTCCTCATCTTTATTATTCTTACAGACTATATTGTAAACAGTTATACTTGTATATAAAATTTATGCTTGAATATTTATAATGAACTGCATCAAAATGACATCACAATTGTTTATGACATCACAATGTTTATGACATCATGATTGCTGTCATGTTTAATGATGTCAATATATATAAACTTTTGGGTATTTAGATGCAGAGGAAAATCCATATCATTGAAACAATTTAAAAAACCCAGTAGTAGCTCTACCCTTGTCATGTTATAAAATGAAAGCTTGATAAATTGGCAAAGAGATAACTCTTATGAAAAAAAATCTTTTTCATCATCTGTAGGAAATAGGTGACAAAAAAAAGATATGCAGTGAAATCTGTTTCATTTCTTTATTGGTGCACAAATATCCTTTTATCTTCCTTCATAAACTGATTGCTTTTGCAATTTTCCATTAAAATTTCTCCCAAGTGCCTGTAAATATATTAACTGCATAGTGCACTCGAACCTAATAACAGCTCAGTATATATGTAGTACAATACTTGTAAAAAAAAAAAAAAATCATTGTTAATTAGTTAAGATGTTCTTTTAAATCTATTTTACAACCATCTATATTTATTAATTGGCAAGAATACATGCAAAAGCAATATTGTCTGACTTTGGGTTTCTGTTGAGATAGCAGATGGATAGCTGGAATAGATTTCTGGTAGATGTTTAACTGATACAGGTGTCGACCACATGCCTAGGAACCATGTGGTCTACCATTCTGTTGGCAACACGGAACTGACTAGATTCCATAATGAGGGCCTATTAATTAAAAATATCTCAAATTGCCACATTTCACCGACTTTATTTCCACATTTACGACACATTGTATTACGGTTGGTAGATTTGGAGAAAACTGAATTGGGGAGCAAAACTCATTGGTTCGAAAGTTTGGCAGATGATTTTGAATCGTGTGGCATTTTTTATGCAAATATGATTTTCTTTGTATTTCAAGTTGCGACACCGAAGAAAAGGGGGTCTACAAGTAGTGAGGCTGATGTCATTACCCCAAACCGACTTTACGATAAGAGGAAAACAGACAGAGAAAGGAAGGGTTCTCCTGAGAGTCAAGGTTAGTGATATCAGGCTGTCAAGGTCACTAAGGCAGACAGAGAAAGGAAGGGTTCTCCTGAGAGTCAAGGTTAGTGATATCAGGCTGTCAAGGTCACTAAGGCAGACAGAGAAAGGAAGGGTTCTCCTGAGAGTCAAGGTTAGTGATATCAGGCTGTCAAGGTCACTAAGGCACTCATATAATGTCACACAGATACAAAATCAAGGTAGGTTTCTTTGAAATCAAGGTCATTTTGTCAGAATTAAAATTTCACTATTTTTGGCATTATATGGATCATGAATTTGTGGTAAGAATATTAATGACTGCATATGTAACAGAATTTTCAAAGGTCTCAACTTTTCTTGGAATTTCTTCTGTTGGTATCTCAGTTTTTGAAACAGAGGAAATTGAAAATATTTAAATTCAACCCAAGTCGTTTCTTAGATTTTGTTTCTTGTTTTTTGCATTATTTTGGTTTTGATTCAGTCTATTTTTCTCTCTACACATAAAATATTGCTGATGAAAAAATATCGTCCCAACTGTCATCAGTACTTAAATATTTCTGTATTAATTCTACACACTGAATTCATAATTATTTCTATATGGTACCCATATAAGTCTATCCTGTTGTTATTACACACAAGACCCCTCTAAATACACGAATATAAGATAATAGTTTAATAATTTCGATCTGTCAAGTCTATATACATACAGCATAATGGGCACATATTGGGATAGGTGAGTCCATTTATTTCGGGAATTCTAACTAATCGAGATATAAAACAAAATATCACACGCCCCCCAATGTGTCACCAATTTTCAAAAGCATACATACCAAATAAGGTTGTGTTTGATAAGATACCGGCTATCATTGAAATAAAATGATATATCAGCATTCCTCAATTAATTCATTCATTGTTTTTTAATCCAGACATTTACAATGCTTTACCTATCATGCTTAAGATCAGAACTAACCTGTGTGACCCAATACCTACCTATATATGTTACACGTCATAGGAATCCATGTTATTTATACACTATTCCGGTAGCTACTGTTTTATATAAAGAAACGATACAGCTCTATTAAGTTACTCCTAGTATGAAATGTTAAAAAAAACAGTATTGCATATTGCTTTTAACTTGAAACTCTGTTTTGATGTTTATCTGGTATGAAACCTTTAATTTCTTGTTTTTCTTTTTTTTCGTATCAATACAAATGTTGATTGTTTATGTATTGATATTCAGGTATTTAAGCACCATAAAGATTTACAAACCATGTGACTTTAAACATTATAATGTTGACTCTGTAATAACACAATATAATACCTGTGTAATGTCCTTAATTGCTATTTTGACTAATTTTAAGCCCCCTGCAATGTATTAATATCACAATTCACCCAGCAATGAAGTTAGACATCTAAATTAAGATCAGGTAATATGTCGGTGTTTTAATCTCTCTGTCTACAGACAGGATTTTCCAGACCTTTTTTTTTTATAAATTCTAAATTAAAGCTTTATATTTCCTTAGTATGCAAAGTAGTTAACTGTTATTAACATAAGATAGTGGAGTTATGGCCCTTTATTTAATAACTACTTCTCATGACATGCTGTACAAATGTCACTTAAACTTTACATTTGTACAGAATGTTGAATGTTGAATTGTCTTGCAAAACTTTCCAAAACATTTTCGATTTTTAGCACATTTTTGTAATTCACTGTTCTATCATATCTCTTGACTGTTTCTTAAAAACTGTGTAGATTTTGATGAAACTGCAAATTCTAAAAACCTGATAGATGTAGTTGATATCTTTACTAACCAATTTCCAATCCTGATTTTTTTTTTTTTTTTGGTAGAATATGTCAGGGATGTATAATAGCAATGTTCATCCCTGATTTTACTTATTCCTGTCACAATGGATAGTTTTCAATCAAACTTGACATTTTATCAACATGCAAGATATGGGCAAACTATTACAATTTATTTTGTAAGTCCTTAATAATTTTGTTCTCGGTTCATGACAGTAAGTTTGTTCAGTCAAATCAAGCGTAAAAATGAAATGATTTTTTTTGCTCTTGAGGGCACATATTAATCAGTCAGGTGAGGATTCTGAATTTTTTTTTTTTTTCACTTTTGACCTTTATTGACTTTTGACCTTTAATTGTTGTTGATACTATGATAAAGGTAACATGTGTAAGGGTTGTTTAGTATTGTCTAGTACACTAGTTAAATTCCCAAAATATGATATTTCACTGTTGTGTAATAAGGCAACAATGAACCAGGGATATTTTGATGTCTTCCTGAGGTACTGTGATAAGCCCACCCTCTGACTATGAGTCAGTGGTAATGTGATCGTTCCCTGAGGTCCTATAATAAGCCCACCCCATGACGGTCGGTGATAATGATAATAGCGGGAGTAAGGAGAATTTCTTAACACATTTCATTGAATTAATATTCTGTTATAAAATTCTGAAATGCATGATTTCTTCGATTAGATATCATGATATTACTACATTAAAATTAACTTTAAAAAAAATTCAATTCAAAGTCATTTCTTAAATTTTTCAATAGGCTAGCAACTGTTGGCTGTGTATTGAATTATAGAATTTTTTTCTTCACCATTTAAATGAAATTGTACCAAGAGATTTTGCTCGGTTTTTACCTGTGATCAGAGAGGTATCAAGGGTGCATGTCACTCCCTATTTATCGCGATGATGTGTCAATTATTGTCCTGTCAACGTGCTTTTGATGTGGCAGGATAAAGTACATTATAACGGAGACACGCCTGGAGGCTTATGAAGTTCATTCATCCATAAACGCAGGTACACACCACACCACAAATGGACCAATCACATGACAGAGGGGTGAATTTGAACAAACCAAGCAATCCTACTAAGCCCTGACTCAGACTTCTTAAATATGTAAACATTTGCCTTTCTGTTTGTTGGTTTCTTAGATAAATATTTATTTGGATAGATCCCAACATAGGTGGTATTTAAGATCATCATAAGGTGGTCATCATCGTATTATTGTCCACTGGTCAAGTGGTCAGTGTTATTCTAACTGGACATCATCAGGTGTCATTCATGACACCCCGTGATGCTAAAGGTAAGTCTTGCTAGCGGCTGGATTTGAGAAAGGTCATTTGTCCAGCTGATAGGGTAAACAATTGGTCAATGGCTTTAACCAGATATCAGAGATCAAGATAGGACATGAAGGTGTGTCCATCATTAATGGCCATCTGTGGCCGAAGGCTTGACAGGTTAATGGTCAGTCAACCATATACCTGTGGTTCTTTGTTGTTGTAAGCCCCTTAGCTTTTCAAGGCTATATTACACAGGTCAGGATGTACTGTTATATCACAGTACTGGTAAGTTGCCCTAATCTACAGGGTCTGTTTAACCTCTACATTATACAATGTACAATCATTTACTCTGGAGAAACATCAAATATTACTTTGTGGTAGGTTTGTTTTTAGATTGAATCTCATGTTCTATGATCTAACATCAGTTTCACTGTTATGTTAAATATGAAGGTATTATTATTCTTTGTTCTCCTTGTGTAATATCATCCTTTTTTTTTTATTGTTATCCCTTTTCCCCCTTTTTTCCGTTTTCTTAATTTGGAATATAAGTAAATTATGAAAACATGTTACATATGTATTTTAAAGTTACATTTACACATCTTTATCTACACAACGTAAGACTAGAATATGTGGTACATCTAATGCCTCCCAAGCTAGAAGACACTTGTATGTGAACGTTTATTAAAATTACATCATCATATTATTCAAAATGAAGAAAATCTTTATAAAGGACAACAATGATGCTCACAAAACATTCGATACAACTTTTATATCACATACAATTTTTATATTACATACAATTTTAATATTACATACAATTTTTATATCACTTACAATTTTTATATTACATACAAATTTTATATCACTTTTTTATATCTCATACAATTTTTAAGCTGTCCTGTCATGGTAACCATTACAAAATCATTACTACTGAAAGTTGAACAAAATTTAAGATTTTTACAGAACACTTTTATTAACAGCCTCCTGATTTAATTATTGTTTGTTAAGTGCATGTTAGACTTATAATTAGATAAGTATAATTGATTTTTTTCAGTGCTAATTAAAATTTGTTATCATTTTAATTATATGCTTAAATACCTGATTTAGTCATCAAATTTCAACAGTGAGAATAAGTGATAATAGGCTGTAATTATTGTGTGTGGGGGGTATGATAAAGAGTTAGACTGGATTATAGCTCTGGGTTAAAATGTTTTAATTTAATTACATTTACAATGTTGACAGGTCAGGAGAATTACAAAACGTTTTTAAAATGTGACTTTTTACCCCTAGGTAATTCTATAATGATGTGTTTTTTTCAGACAAAATTACATAACATCTCCTTTGTCTGGTGGGACAACTTAATTATAGACATTTATCATAATATGACACTAGTTTCCTTTTTTATGACCAGAAATTGGTTATAATCTCTATTTATGGTAAATTAAAATTTTTATAAAACCTCAAAAATTACATGTGTAATTGACACAATACAATAATTTATAAATGGTGGTGGTAAGATAGACAGGAATAAGGAAAGCTAAATTGGTTACAATTATCATGAGCATGTGTAAAGGTTGAACATGTCTTCAGAGTAGTAAGGGTGAACACTTCTTGGTAGTGGTAAGGGGTTGATGAGTGTTGAATACATCTTCAAAATGGTAAGGGCTGCACATGACAGTAGGGTGGCATTAATTGAACAACTTTCGAGTGATTAGGGAAGAACAAGACTTTGGAGTGATGAGGGTTGAACAAGAATTTAGAGTGGTGAGGGATGAACATGACTTTAGAGTGATAAGGGTTGAACATTACTCTGGAGTGATGAGGGTTGAACAAGAATTTAGAGTGGTGAGGGATGAATATGACTTTAGAGTGATGAGGTTTGAACAAGATTTTAGAGTGATGAGGGGTGAATATGACTTTAGAGTGGTGAGGGTTGAACAAGATTTTAGAGTGGTGAGGGATGAATATGACTTTAGAGTGATGAGGGTTGAACAAGATTTTAGAGTGGTGAGGGATGAATATGACTTTAGAGTGATGAGGGTTGAACAAGATTTTAGAGTGGTGAGGGATGAATATGACTTTAGAGTGATGAGGGTTGAACAAGATTTTAGAGTGGTGAGGGATGAATATGACTTTAGAGTGATGAGGGTTGAACAAAATTTTAGAGTGGTGAGGGGTGAATATGACTTTAGAGTGGTGAGGGTTGAACATTACTCTGGAGTGATGAGGGTTGAACAAGATTTTAGAGTGGTAAGGGGTGAATGAAACTGAATAGTGGTATAGGTTGAACATCAGCTTGGAATGATTGAGGTTGAATATGACTTTGGGGTGGTCAGATTTGGTTTTCAGTGATAATGTATCTTCATTCTGTTCTATCTTGCTTGATTTCAGCCCTTTTTGAGGCAGTGGAACAACAGAACATAGACCTAGCCAAAACTGTACTTGAAGCTGGTGGATTACACATCAATAGGTATGCTTTGTCCAAACTTTGTACATGAAACTTCATGTCTTATACCTTCAGCTGAATTTATCATCGAATGTTAACAACAGTTACCAATTTTTCAATTCTTGATGGATTTGCCTTTGACTTAATACAACCATCTCTGTCTTTCAGTACAAATAGTGAGGGGTTAACTCCCCTTGATGTGGCGGTAATGACCAATAACATCCCCATGGCAAAGATGTTGTTGCTACACGGCGCTCGGGAAAGTCCACTCTGTAAGTTTTTGTCAGAGAGTTTATTGTTTGTTTGGGTTTTTTTTTGCTGAAAACATCATTCGCATAATGGAAAATAGAATGTACATGTATGATCTTAAATTTAAAACATGATCCATTTTTTCAAAGAAAATAATTTCCGTACAGACATACATTACAAATGGGCCATTTAAGTTTGACAGTCATATCAATAGGTGTTTCCAGTGAAGGTTTTAAGCAGTAACTTGATGGGAATTAGGGAGAAAGCTGATTTTAACAATCATAGTTACAATGAATTTGATGTTTACTTTTTCGCAACTACCTGTGAGCTAGGTCTTCTTGGGAAATGTTTGCTCGACTAAAGTTCTGTTACTTTAGCGAGCCCTGACGGTATGAAAATTATTTTTTTTATTCCTAAAACGCAGGCTTTAATACTTTATGATTCTATAATTAAATTATCTCTGTATTTCAGTCCAGAAGAATGTTGACAGTCGGTCAGACAGACTGGATGCACTGGTATCAGAGGCAGAGAAGAGGGTTGTTGACTTGTCGGCCATTATTCTCAACACCTCGACAAACAATGGATATATATCTAACACACAACAGAAGGTTAGTAGAAGTCTGCATCCAGTATTTACTATCATACATTTGTGGACCATCGCTTAATGGTGGAAATTGTTAAGTAACAACTGGGCAGACAATATCGAGATGATGACCATGGACCATTTTTTCTGGGGCTAACATCTGGAATTTCAGACTTGATTCACTATAGAAATGTATAGAGAAAAAATAGTTTAAGTATAACAAATACTTATTCTGTGGACTAGTGGTTGCTAAATGTCCAGGAGGCCAATACATGGTCCAGAAGACTGAATATCAAGGGGTGGGCTTATTACAGGACAATCGCTGACAGCATTAGGTGGAAATTTTACTGAACCGCAAAAGGTATGGGTAGGCCTATTACCAGGTTTGGAATTAGTGATGAATAAGCACAGGTATATGAAATTACTTTATATATTTTGTTACAAAGATGTGAATTTTTTTAGAAAATTCTCTGTAATGAAACATGTCAGGACCAAATGTAAGTGTCAAATATCTTTGTGTAGTGACAAAGATAAACTTTGTCACTAAAGTGAAAATATCACAAAACAAGCAAAAATTGAAAAATCATTTAAAAATTTCTCGTGACTATTTCAAAAAAAAAATTTAACATAAACAACACAATGATAATTATGATTACCCCTAACCCTGCCATCCCTACAAAGAATATTTATCAACAATACAGTATGTGTATGGTTTGCTATATATTGTATATTCACAAAAGAAAAATATGTCTTAACTGTTGTAAGAATATAATTCCAAAAATAACATTTTGTATGTAGACAATAAGAAACTTTGACATAAAAATGTTTCATCATTTCAGTGTTTGATAATCCTACCGCCCTCTTTATGACCACAAACATTTGGATTCACCAGGGGCAAAAAAACATGAACTCTGTGACTCGCTGTCATGGTAATCAATGGACAAGCCCACTAGAATTACAATAACTGTATTTTGGAGTTTGTTACTGAGTTAATCCAATGATTTATTTAATTAAAATAGCAGATATTTGTAATATTATCTATTATAACATGAAATCCCTCTTTTGTAGTTCATATAAATCTTTTTCACACTTAATTAGTCAAATCTAGACTATCACAGGGGTCAAATCTTGAGCATAACAAATCTTCTACAAGCCATATATAGTCAAATTGAGATTTGTATTATTATGGTTAAATTTTAAAGCATTGCAGTCTTAATGTATAGTGTTATTAAAACCTTACATTTGTAAAATATTCCTAAATTCTGTAAAAATCTATAGATATTTTATACTTTATATTTAAATGATTAATATCATAACAAAGCATATCCATGAAATGTTATTTTCTTAAATAATAATGAAAAAAAAAATTTAATAAAAATTGTTAAGCTAACAATGCTTGATCAACATAGCACTTTTGGTAAGTAATGGTACCAAGCACTGTCTAAAATTTTTAGCAGCTGTTTACATAAATTGTTTACACTAAATTTTCTTTTATTTGTACTTATATCTTACCTAGGTACTAAATTACCTAATAAGGCTTTCTTGTAAAGGCCGCACCAGTTCTTTATTAGCTCAGAACAAATATTGACAGATTTCAGACTGTCTAGTTTGGCCGGGCGCTGTTATTTTATTAATCTGATTGAAAATGCCTGACATGTATATATACAATGAATGTATATCTTTTGTTGTGTGTTATTAGTTTCCTTTGTGAGTGTCACAAACAGGGAGATTATTAAATCTTGTTTTGTAGGATTTGTAGATAGAAAGTTTGACTATAATTTGTCACACTCCTTTACCTGAGATCACCATTTTGAGGCGGACGTTGTATATGAATTTAGGAATGTAACAACCCTTGGGTTGTTTTATAGATAACAACAGTTTAAGGCTATTCATTTTAAAATTCTGTATCTGGAATCAGTGTCTATACCATATTGAAGGAATTTTGGTATGGTTAATTGAAGATTCTACAAGGATTAACAGAAATTCAGTGTTTTAGGTTAGTAAATTGTCATTAAGGTTCATTGTGGACGTTGATTAACTTTAACAAATATTTAGGTACAGTTACAATAAGATAATTGGTAATATTTTTTTCTTATCGAAAGATTATCATTTAAAGATAGATAAAATATACCTAAATTTATTTTATGTACGGACTTACATTATTGGCAGTAGTGTTTTGAGATTTTTTTATAATTATATATATATAGTTTTTTTTTTTCTATAACAAATGTAGAATTTCAAGTTTGGGATATTTGTAATATCTCATTGTCAAGAAACAGGTTCAAGGTAACTTTGTCTTTTACAAAATTTGATATTTGTGGTAACATATTGGTTTTGATTGACAGGAGAATGAACGACAGCTAAATCACTGGGAATTCCGACACAAGCTTCTGAAGAGAATGAAGGCAGGATATGACCATGCCCGTAAGTAACTATGATATATGGCTTTGATTTCGAGTCAAAATGGCAAAAATCATTACTCTGTGATTTGATAGGTCAAATTTAAGAGTGACAGTTTGTGAAGATTTTGGTAATGTTTTGTAATGAGAAAAAAAACGGAAATATTTACTGTAATTTCAGGAACTTTTTAAACATATGTGATGGTATAATTTAGATATTTGATAACTTCAACATAAAAGACTGTTTTATATGTTTGACAATTAAATGCACTTTTGGATCGCTAGATCTCCAATAACTGGACTTAAATGAGCCAGTTTTGCAAATAATTTCTAGTGATATGTTTCATACTGTATGTCCATCTTCAATAGCTTTCACCCTTGACCCCTAATGTTTTTGTTTTAGGTGTGCCTGACCCCCCTAGTTGTGTGAGCCTCTCTGTGGCGAGTAGCTCCTCCCTACAGGTCCGATTTGATGAGCCTCTAAATCACAATGGCGCAGTCGTCACCAAGTATAAAGGTAGGCACGGGGTCCGACAGATCTCAGAACAAATGATATAGAGGCAATATTGTATTTCTCCTGTGATTAGCCAGGCGGTCAGCATTAAGAAATATGAAAATCAGAGTACAGGATTATTAAAGGATGTAGCATTAGTCTGTAATTGTACTCAATAGCATTAGATTTTGGTGGGCTTATTACCAGACATCGATTTATTACTGGATGAATATGGTAATGTGTTGTGAGTGTCCATACATTGCCACCAGACATATCGGTCATGTGACTTTTGTGTACTTAAACAAACAAACAACAAACAAACAAGACTTAGGGGCAATGCTTTATAGGATTACTGATCTGGGGTTCAAGTTGAGGGAGGGGGAGGGGGTTATGACAGTTTATCTAACTAATATTTGACTCATGTTAATATTATTTAATTTACAAATCATCTGTGATTGAAAGCTCATTTCTTGAAATCTTTGGTTGTTGTTTGCAAAGGCTTCTAACACAGATTTATTTAGATTTAAGTCAATGGTTTTATTAAAATCAAATTTTTAAAAATATTGAAAAATTTAAAAAATTGATGGTGAGGCTCATCATCCATCTTGTATATGTGAATAGTGAGGGGGGAAATTTTTAAAAGCAAATGATGTGGTAATATGTATTAAAATATCTACAGAGAAAAAATCCTTGGAATTGAAGTTTTTACACAGATATCGTGGTTCATAAGCTTTTAATATCTCCTTAATGTGATTGATTAATTTAAAGTTTATTTGATTTAAATTCCATCCTTATTTTGAATTCAATTCTGACTATTAAAGTAGTTTTTTTTTCCATTATGAAATTTACATCTCATTGTAAGCCAGATATTGGCACTTTTCCAGATCATTAAATGTCTGTATCCCATATTACAGGTTTAAGTTATCAAGTTTATTTCCTGTTACGTTGAAAGAAGACATTTTTGTCAAAATATATCGGTCAGTAAGCATATGGTTACAGATGATTATGTAAGTTGTCTAATTGTCATGTTGCCAGTTAGACCATATGGTTCTGCTGTACTATACCCAGAGGTTTCATTCCATTATCAAATCTGTGTGAATTGGATATTTTGAACAGACAAATGTTATTTACATGTTCCATCTGTGAACATGGTAAGGTGCATATTGCCGTCGATGAACATCATAAATAGTCAGTCAATTAAAAAGGTTTATCATCTGTGGCATTGCTGAGCTCAAGATTCCGGAAATGTTGAAAAATTTCATGCAAATATTACATTTTTAATTTCAGTTTTAAAATCAAAGGTTAAAGTTCTGATATTTTTATAAAATAACCAAAAAACAAAAAAACAGATGGTAGAATACATGAAGTCAGAGTCAGAGGTTAAAATGTTTAAAAATGTTAACATAATACAAATTTGAAATGAAGACAGATTTTTTAAGTTTTGTGTTGAGTTGATTTCAATGAATCCTTATTGAATCTTATATTGATTGATATCATTTAAATTGTCAAAACTGAAAAACAGCATAATTTAAAAACTTTAGCCTTTCATTTAAACAAAATAAATTAGTTTATAATTGTGCAACAGCTTATTATTATCAATTCTTTTATTACATATTTCAGAATATTTCAAAAATCTGATGTAATGTTGTTGAGGAGATTAAAAGGGGGGCTGGTCCTATGAAGAGACATCTGAATTGGTTTAGTGACTGGTAGTCTGTCACCAGCTGGTGGAATGTATTACTTATTTAATTAACATCCCGCTGGTCCTGGTATTCCCCTCCTTTTCAACACATGTGTACACATCAGGGAACCCAAAATAGGGCCACATGCAGAAAATTGTAATTATGAAAAAAAAAAGAAGATTATTTCTTTTTCCTTTGATGTACCAATTATCATCTTATGAATTGGTTACAAGTGAACATGTTGAACTCTCCGAACATCCTCTTCTCCATGTTTTCTCTTTATTCTGTGATTCGTTTCACCCTGATCACTTCTGCTTCTATCACATGCTATTTGGCCATCTGTCTATCATGGACCCTGTATTTATCACCTGATCTCAAGCTATCCCATATTTCATTTATCAAAACCCAATATTCTTTTGGACCAAGTATGTTGGTGAAGCAAACCTCTATCTAATCCAATACAATGAGGGACACAATGCCGTCTTTTTTTAAGTTATATGCTCTTGTGAGCCGGTAAAGACTGGTAACGTCATTAGAGAAAATTATGTCATTGGAGAAACATATTGGTCAGATTTACCTGTCTTATCTGACATTATATAGGACTCACCATATTGGCCAGATGAACCTGTCTAATCTGACACCCTGAGGTTCTGTAGATGCAGGTCAGATTAAACAGGATGACAGAAAATACAGGTATTCATTTGGCCGTTTTCCTCTGAAACAGGTTTACAGTTTTTTAGTCAGATAAGGCAGGTGTCGCACTGTTTCGTCCATTTCTCTATATCTCCCTCTTTAGTTTTAATTCCTTTCCCTCTTCAAACATTCCATCCAAGAATTATTCAGTCAACTTCTGTATAAGGAATTCATAAACTGTGGTTATCGTTACAGTGGAGTGGAGTTGCTTTGAAGATTTTGTACCCCTGGCTGGGGACAAGATTGTTGAAGACATGCGTCACCTAGAGTACGAGGTTCCTGGCCTGGTGAAAGGCAATAAGTACTACATCCGAGTTTCGGCTTGGAACATGAAAGGATACAGCTCGTACACCCCTGCACAGCCGACCTATGCAGTGCCATCTTGTACGTAACTTTACCAAAAAAAAAATCTTGAACTGGTTAATGATTTTTTCTCAAAACTTGTTCTTCTGATATTATGATACACAAAGCGTGTGTGACTCATTACAATAAAAGTACTGCAGGAATCGTTTGAAATCAAAATATTGATGAACCAAAATAATTCACATTAAATTATCAAAATAAGAATTTTAAATATTGGTTCTCAATGGTACACGTGTATGCATATTGGTTTCTACATCATGATGCTCATGTGGGCTGAGTGATGCTGACATAAATTTGTTTAAGAATTCTTTTTGCTGACATCATAGATCAATTTGTATATACTTCTCAGCTTTTTTTAATTTGGTCATTGTTTTTCACACACAAAAGCTAGATATTTATGTTTACTTTTTCCTTTCTCCTACCTTGATAAGGTATGATGTTTATCCTTTACTTTTGCCTTTTTCCACAGCTTGGAGAGATGTTGAAGGATCAATGGCTCCTAGAACTAATGGCAAATTGGAGCATTTAGCGGGAATCTTTTCGAATGTAAAACAACTTCGCCCTGCAGATGCTTCAGAGCTAAAAGGTTTGAAAGCCAATTCATATTTGTTATTTTCTTGTAGAAATGGTAACATATATAGTATAATTGTCTTCCAAACCCAGTCTTCTACCAGAAATCAGATGACATGCGATGTACAACAGGATTTATCACAGAACAGATATTTAGTTTCATAATACTATTCCTTAAATGATTTCCTGTGACATATCTCAAAACAAGTTCCATCACAGTTTTCCTAACAGAAGAAAAATGATGTGGCATTTTCTACAGTTTGACAATTAACTGACACTAAGATAAACTGTAAAAAGTTTTACCATGAAATTTTCATTACAAAAGAAGATAAAGATTGTTTTGTTGACCACAAAAAAGAAATTCATTGTCCTCTCCGTTTTATAGAAAATGCCGGCAGTGATTCTCCTCAACAGCGCAAGAGAAAGAGTATAAAAAATTTGTTTACCTCAGCACCAAAATTCCAGAAGGCATTTAAAAGGTTTGTACTCTTACTCTTGCTGGTAGGAATGTTTTTCCTAATGTAATTAAGTTTTGAATGTATATGTGCTCAAATTCATCTCTGAAGAATTTTTAAAACCATGCTGTAAAGTAATATTTCAAATCAGTTTTAGCAGATAAAAAGTGCACATGTTAGGTAGGAGGTGGGTGTTCTGTTCCTGCACCAGGAAGAAGGGAGATAATTCAATTAAGATTAGTCATTCAAGAGATTTAGAAGTTGAAATAAGTAGTGTGATCAAATGAAAGAAAAAAATCAACACATTTACTAGGTATTAGTAGCCTTTTCTTTTGTCCTTTGAAAAAATATTTGACTTAATATGTTCCAGTCCACATAGCTGTATCAATAGGAAGGTTAAATGCTGGGAAGTAATCATATGATGATCTCAACTCATGACACTTTTGTTAATTTTACAACCTTATGACATAGGTAACTTTTATAAAATCAGACACTTTATTATACAGAAAGCAACTTAGCATTTATTTTTTAAATTTGATTCAAAGATGTATAAATTTTTGTTTAAATACATGATTTATTTAATGTGCCCGCAGGGGAGTGTACATGGCTTGCCTTCTGTACAATGGAGACAAGGTATTTGTAACATCAGATGATCAGCTACCCGTGGTGGAGGTGGACGAGAACTTTGCTGGACCTGCTGTTTATAATGACCTCCACTGGTTGATGAAGGTAAGTGACATATCCAGTATTGACCTTTTTGTTGACTCTTCAGAGTAAATTTCTTTTTTTTTTACATTGTTGGATCTAAGACTTTCTAGTTTAAAATATCCATAAGCTTTAGGTATATACTGAACATTGTTAAGCAATCTTTGTCAAAATATTGATAATATCCAGTGTGAAATTGATAGTTATCAAGTAAGTCCATTGTATAACAACATCAGAACACTATAAAATAGAGATATGTACCAGAGGAAAGAATTCATATTAGTTTTTTTAAATTATCATTTTCTTCGCTGATTACATATTCTCAATTAAATATTTGATCTTGACAGATTTCGTGTAACTGGGACGACGTGAAATCATTTCGTCAGGACATGGATAAGAACACCAGTGCAGGCACCATGCATTTTCGTAACAAACTCCTACAGGCAATATCAGTATTACAGGTAGGACTTTTTTTTGGAAAATTTTCTTCAAGTTGTTATCGTCAATAGAATAGAAGTTCTTATAACACAACCAGTAGAAGATTTGATTGTGACATTTCAATGACTACACAGTCACCTTCATCAGACAAATGACCAGTGTGGAGCATACTAACATTGACATGGGTAGTGTACAAGATGGTAAGGAATCAACCAACTTTTTCCAGCTTCCTTACCATCTCGAACACTACATACATCAGTGCTCTGATGAAGGTGGCCTTGTCTTCCACAGGTGATGTTATAAGAACTTCTATTCCACAGTAGGGTTGCCTGACCTACCATTATACTGTGTTACCTGTGGTTATTTCTGTTGGTACATTGATTTGTAACTATCTTTTGTCTTATTAACTATAAGTGTAAAGAAAATGCCTTAATTAACAAAATGTGTGGAATTATAAAATTGAAAGCAATCTGCATTTTAAAAATTGGGAAAATAAAAAACTGAGCATGAGAATACTCTCATTTGAGTAGATGGGGTAGATTATCATCTATCAGTTAATTTTCTTTTTAATATCTTTTAAAAACATATAGGAAGGTTAACATTTAAATCCAATTATCAATTTCCAGACAATATTTTCGTGTATAATTGGTAAAAAGGAAGGTTGAATTGATAAGAATATGGATAATTTCCAAAATCTGTCCAAAGGGACATAACTCTTGAAAAGAGATTAATATATATATATTCTGTATTGTAGAGTGCTCTTGGAGTGAATGACCTTGGTCAGTTCTACCACAAACCTTTGAAGGACAACAATGGTAGCATTATCCTGACTACTGTAAACGACATCAAGGAAATGAAGTCAGTGTGTCTCGGCTCTGGAAAATGGGTCAACTTCGCTAAGCTGCTTAGACGTACTTCCACACCCAATTCCGGAGGATCAAGCACCGAATCCACGGACTCGATGGATATTCTAGTCAACTCTTTGTCTGTTAGTATTTACATATATCATACAGAATAATATCCTGTTTATAAACAGAAATAAATACAAATCACGTGTTTTATGCTTTTTGACAATGACAACTGTGTGTTTGATTCTTGGTTTTCCTTTTTAAGATTGTTCCCTATGTCACATACTTGTAGATGTCTGCCATATTTCATGGCCTGTATTTGTGTTTTACAGGAGATGGTCGCCTACCATCAAACGAGTACAGTACCACTAAATAAAGGCCTTTACTTGGGATACCTCAAAGTCCAAGTGTCTGTTGAACTCATTCAGCTCCTTGTTCCCAGTAAGGCCCCCAACAATCTCCCGAACATCCGACTCCGTAGCTGTCCCAACATATCCAAGTAAGTATACACACATTATAACTACTTTAAAACTGTTAAATATTTATTAATTTGATGAAGATTGGAGAATTCATTTATTGGAATTTTGAAAAAAAAAAAAAGTCTTTTTTTTTTTTTTCTTTTTCAATTTTTTCAATATTCTTGATTTGGTTTGATAGAGAGGAATGGGAGTGGTTACAGGATGTCAGCACTGGCAGATCAACAGCTTCCCCTAGTACCACACAACGTCGCTTCCAGAAAGAGTTGATGGAGGGTGCTGATAAACTGTTTGACATGCTAGGTAAGTTGTTTTATATTAGACCGAATAAGTTAAATACTGTACAATATGAGTAAACATTAAGAAAAACACTTCAGACATATCTGGTTCATTTAAATGCTGTGTTAACTTGTAATAAGCCATAGAGGCCATACCTTACATCAGACTCAAAGGCAGGGGGTTGAGTTTATCACAGGACCCAAGGGGCCATACCTTACATCAGACTCAAAGGTAGGAGGTTGAGTTTATCAAAGGACCCAAGGGGGCCATACCTTACATCAGACTCAAAGGTAGGAGGTTGAGTTTATCACAGGACCCAAGGGGGCCATACCTTACATCAGACTCAAAGGTAGGAGGTTGAGTTTATCACAGGACCCAAGGGGGCCATACCTTACATCAGACTCAAAGGTAGGAGGTTGAGTTTATCACAGGACCCAAGGGGGCCATACCTTACATCAGACTCAAAGGTAGGAGGTTGAGTTTATCACAGGACCCAAGGGGGCCATACCTTACATCAGACTCAAAGGCAGGGGGTTAAGTTAATCACAGGACCCAAGGGGGCCATACCTTACATCAGACTCAAAGGCAGGGGGTTAAGTTAATCACAGGACCCAAGGGGGCGATACCTTACATCAGACTCAAAGGTAGGGGGTTGAGTTTATCACAGGACATGAATAGGTATGGGGTCACCTGCCTGACCACATGGGTTTTACCCCACAGTAAGACCCTTCATATGCTTCCATACAGACCAACAAGAGTGATTAATATAAGTTGGAAAACTTGGTTCACAGTTGTTGTAAAATAAATAAAAGTTTAAATAGCATTTTTTTATAATTCAATAATCAGCAGCAAAAGCTGGGCTTATTGCTGGATATACACAGAAAGAAATCATTTTACATGTGAGTTGAAAGAAACATTGCACCAGATTATATGGTTTAAAGTATATATCATCCTTTTCCTCACTTTCAGATATTCCAGAAAACCTTGCAAAAATTCATCGAATTTATGATCTAGAAGTGGTGGAGGTGAGCAGTAATGTGACTTTCCTACTGCTGCTGCCCCCGATAGAAAATGTATGCATCGTCCCAGGACAGGCTGACGATCTCACCTCAAAGCGAGACTTCATGCTTCTTCCTGTCAAAGTTTTTGAAACAAGTAAGGTTTTTATATTTATCGTGTTGTACAAACAAGAAATGTTGTAATACCTTATCAGATATGACTTATTTATAGGTTCTCTCGCACAGCGAGATTTTCTATATCAAGATTTCTCTACCTTTGACCTATATGGCAAAGGTCGGATTCTTTTGAACAATTTAACTTGTGAGTAAAATACTTTTGAAATTTTGAAAGCAACATGCCTACTTCTCAATATACAATATATAATTGATGATGTAGATATTTTCTGACTTGTCATTCTATATAAAGAAAGCAAAACGAAATCAAGCAAATTTGCTTTATGTTACAGAGTATGTACGTATACAGATTTTGTCAATTTTTGAAAATTTGTCAAATTTTTTAATAACTTTTATTCATCTGTTTATTTTCTCTTGTTTTATAGTCCACCTGAACACATACCAGTCTCAGCTCTTAAGTAAATACTCACGCCTCTCCTCTCTACTTGAGATGGATCTTGCCCTGGCACAGCAAGCCCAAAGAGAGGTTAGTATTTGGTCAATTGGGTTATCACTACAGGTAACTGAGTTTTGACCTGGTAGTGTGCCTTATTCACTGTTCAAAATATTGACATAAAAATCTCAAGAAATTTATTAATGAAGCATAGATGACTCAGTGCTCCTTATATGATATCTACCACTTGACATCCAGTAATCTACTGAGGGTTTGACATGTAGGTCAAAGTGTTGTTGTAAGACAGCAAACATCTTTAAGTTTCCATGTTACTCTAGGATAGTATACACCCTTAAGTCTGCATGTCATAGTGATATAGCATACACCCTTAAATCTGCATGTCACAGTGAGGTAGCATACACCCTTACGTCTGCATGTCACAGTGAGGTAGCATACACCCTTAAGTCTATGTGTCATAGTAAGTTAGTAAACATCCTTAAGTCCCCAATGTCACAGGAAGATAACATACTGCCTTAAAGCTCCTTGTTACAATAAAGTAGTATACATCCTTCAGTCTCCATCTCAAAGTAAGGTAACGTACACCCTTAAGTTTCTGTGTCACCCTTAGGTAGTATACATACTTAAGAGTGCATTGCACAGTAAGATAACATACTGCCTTAAGTTAAGTTGAGTACATTTCCAAGTCTTTTTTAGATTAAATAAAATTGATTTCGTTACAAAATGGATTATTGTATTTTTTTTGTTTCAGGCATTTTCGTCTGGTGAATTAAGTTCTGCAAAGTTGAGAGTAGACAAACTAAACACATTACAGCAACATTTAGACTTTGCCTGGAAAAGTACACGATGGGTGATGGACATCATCACATACGCTCGTGATAAATCTGTGCATGGAGGGACATCAGTCAGTCTCATAACTGCCACAGACAAGGAAGTAGACACACCAAATTATCACGGAAAATCAAATGGCAAAATTCTGGATAATAATAATTCCCAACCAAGTTGTGGATCGAGTGCATGTGATTCGAATGAAATTAGTGTTGGAAAAGACAATAGAAAGATTGCAAAATTTTACGATCCCACAGAGGATGTTCAACAAACAAATGGACATATTCAAAAGGAGAAAGAATCTACACCTGTGGAGGTTAAATCTCCCATGTCAAACCTGTCAGGATCACCAACAGGTAGTTCTGGAATCCTGGAAGTGTATGCAGCCTACGAAACGGGACTATCAAAGGGTACGAGAGTGAGGCTGCATGTTACTTCAAAAACAACGGCAAGAGAAGTTGTCCATCTTGTTGTGAAACATCTCAACAAGGCCCTGGTAATGAAAGGGAAATCAGGGCCAACCTATTCCGAAGAACAAATTGTAGACTTCTGTCTGGTGGCTGTGATTGGTGCAAGGGAGAGAATTCTCCGTGATGACTATCAGCCACTACGGCTGCAAAATCCATGGACAAAGGGAAGATTATTTGTGCGATCAAAAAATAATCTTTTAGCAGCGATTCAGCAAGGCCATGCTACGGAGGTGTGATTTAGACAGACTTAGTGATTAGGAGCTTGCCCTTCAATGAACACTATTCTGGCATTGACAGACACACCACTGCCTTCTGTTTCATTTTTAGGTACATGTAGTCATCCCCAACTCTCTTCTCTATTGTTATTTTCTACAAACAACAAAAAGAAAAAATGAATCAGTGTTGTTTTTACCTTGGGGTCTTTCAAGTCAATCTTATGTAGGATTTAATTTATTTTTTTGAAGGTCTTCTCATAAAATTTTTAACATTTCAATTTCAATTTTTTTTCCCAGGAGTACATTTTTTTTTAAAAAAAAGTAGTGAACTGAATTAATTGAAGCATAGTTTTTGTCTATTAATTTTAGTCTTTCTTTAAATTTTGGTGAAACTCAAGTTTTGCTTAATCATAAATATGAATGAATGATAAATGAACATTAATTCAAGGGAGATAATTCTTACACAGAAATATGCCAACGTATAAGGTAGGACTTCACTTTAGAAAAAAAATCCTTTTTTAATTTGATTCCAAAAGTTTATTTTTAAACTAGAGGTGTTAGTAAAAGAAGGTGGGTGGAACATGTTAAAGACTGTCGTTTGTTTCGTACTCGAAGGCAGTGGTGTTTTAAACAGAGGGACTTATGACATTATACTATTTCCAATGCTAATGTCATCATAGAGTACAGAAAGCAAAATGTGATATTAACTAATCTGTTAGTCACGCCATTACTGTAGTATCAACTTACCCATATAACAAATAATTTATTATGGTAAATATTTATTGATTGCTTTGATCATTCCATTAATTACATGTTTAATTATAACCAGCATACAGGTACCAGGACAAATTCTAGTCTCAATTTTATTTTTTTTTTTTTTACACCAGGAATACTTTCGTATAAGTTTATTTATATTTGTAAAGGAGTAGATATGATTGGAACAGTTTTGAGCAGTAAAGTTATCAAATAGGTTTCATTAATATGTATATTTTTGTTAAAGAACCTTACTTGTATTTTACCTATGAGATGGAAAATAAACATACATTAAAAAAAAAATGAATCTTGACAAAAAAATAAAAAATTTTAACCCAGTGACTGAAATTCTTCTGTAAATCCTTGTTTTGGAAATTATAAAAAAAATTCAAGAAATAAAATAAATTGTTGAAATTTGGAAAAAATTACAAACATCATAGCTAAAACTGTTCCTGATCGAATTTACTCCTGTAAATGATACAGTTATCTACAATATTCCAACAATTCATTTGATAGCAATCAAAACTAGTCATACTTCGAAAACGTCCATCTTTCAAAATATTTACAAAACTGTTTTACCATTTAAATATTTTCTTATAGCACTGAAGTTTACTTATTATATATTTGTGATTTTCAACAAAAGAAATCTAGTCCAAATTTGCACTTTTTAGGCAATTAATCATCTATATATTCATAAAAACTTTGAAATGTCATTTACATTTTATAAATATGGATTTCCGCAGGAATGGTATGAATTATTCATGACTTGATGGTATTAGCATTTCATTTGTGTTAAGGTGGCTCGTGACATATTACTTCCAATACATAATCTGATTAGTTATAGAATTAATACTTTTACAATGTAAGTTTCAATGTTCTTAACCATTATCAGCTGATTTAGGCCAACCGACCATATCAACATAACAGAAACAAAGGACATCATTTATTTCTGTCTATGTAGGATATAAGAGTTATCTGTCCTTCATCTACACTACTGATTGAATCTCGTCGAAGCCAAATTTATTGTTGAGTAGAATTGTGGGACAAATACAAAGAAATTTGATTTCCTGAACAATCATGACAGTCTATAAACATCCGCAGAGAAATCTCAAATCTCATATATCTTCATCATGAAAAAGTTTTGGGGTTTTTTTTTATAAATAAATCTATTTATCCATGAAAAGTCATCAAAATAGATTCTGGTCCCAGTTTCCTGCATCAAGGGATTTTTCTTAACTTAAATGTGTTCAGGAAAGCATTACATATGTTAAGGAAACTCCCTTTAATTAAAGTTTTTCTTTTAATAACTTATGTAATGCTTTTCTAGGCGAGTGAAAGGTTAAGGAAGATTTACAAAACTGGGGCTTGATACATGTATATATTTTTACCCTTTGATTTGAAAGTACTGTACATGTCGAGATATTTTCATTAAGCTTTTGAATTTAAAAAAAACACAAATAACAATATTTCAAGAAGACTTTCAGTGTTAGGATTCGTGAATATTTTCTACATAACTTCATCATTGTGAGAAAAATTTTGCAACTTACATCTCATATTTCTGTATCAAATCCAATCATTAATAAATCCTTTAAAAGCATATTGTATTGTTTAAATTTCACCATTCAGTGAGTACAGCAAGATTCACCATGACTATAATACATTGTCATTATGTCGTCCTAATCCTTAAAGCCCACAGCTGACCTAAATGCCATATTTAGACTGTGTAACTAAAGTGCAATGTTTTCTAACGTTATGGAATGTTTTACTTTTGCATTTATATTAAAAATGTCATCTTCATAATTGTGAATATTTTTTAAAAAGTTTTGCCCTGCACTAAAACTGATTCCGTTTCTCTGTGTCTACCTGTGTAAAACTCAAATAGCAGATATCAGTCTTGTTTCTGATATTTGTATCCCATAATCTTTTTAGTTTTTTTCTCTCAAAACACTGGTGATTAATTTTGTGATTGGATTGTGGTTTTTAACACAAGAAAATAACAATTTTTTCAGTCCAAATTAAATTATCAAGAAAGTAAAGTGTAAAGATGTGAAATGTGAGATAAAATTCCAGAAATTTAAAAAAAAAATATATTTACAACCCTTTGACCTCTTTTTATGTCTTTATGGCATTTATCCTTGGTCATAATGAAATCTATTTCTATTTGAGCTGTGACAGTTGATACAAAATAGACTTATTAAGCTTTCATAGTGGATATTCATAAATAAATGTTGAAAGAAGGTTTTTCAGTAGTGTTGATTCAACTTCTGAGGTCTACAGCAAATGTTTTAGTCATTCATTAACTAATTTTCAGTGTTTTGTTGAGTTTTGATCGTACTTGTGATATTTTGATTCATGCTAACACAGAATGAAGTTTTAGGTGTGTGAGAGTGATTGATAGGTGTAGTACCTGGCATATATGCATGTAGATGTTTTTTTTCACAAAGAAAAAAATCATGAAACATTTGTAATGCATGTTTAAGTTTTCATTCTGTCATCTCATGAATAAACTAATTCCCAAAAAGGTTACTTTTGTGTTTTTGTTTTAGATTTTTTAATCTTGTGTATTCTTAGGTCAACTGGTCTGAAGGACCAGTGAGCTTATGCCATGACATGGAATCCCTCATTCTGTGCAGCATCGGGCAGATTTTTTATCAAGATAACTACATTTACCCGTCAGTCATGAACATCTGAACATATTTTGATGAAGTTTGTATTAATATCTCTTCTTAACCCCCAGGGCTGAGGGCAATGCCTTAAAAGAGAAAATTCTTTAAAATCTACTCCTCCTGTAGAAACTAATGGATATTGCCAAAAATTGGTCTGAAGCATTCTTGGGTGAAGGGGAATCAATCTTATGTAAATGTTAGGCCTCAGACCTCTGGGACTGAAGGGTCGGAACTGTGGGGCTGAAGGGGTCGGGCCTGTTGTGCTGTACCATTCTTAAAAATTCACAAACCACGCACAAGATTGTTGGCAATGTACATGTACTTGATCAAGCTATCAAACATTCTGTTGCATTGTGGGTACAGGAAATAGAAATTACATTAAACAGAATTGGTAAAGTCGTGAGCCGATTTAAACATTTTATTCTGATTGTAGCTATTTATCATCATTGAAAGTTACACAGAACTTGTCCATCCGAGAGTGGATCGGAACCATTCATATCGATGTACGGACACATCCGGGGTCTTTTCGGGCAGTTCCATAGTTTCCTGCACACTTTTTTCTGGACTTGCTAGTATGGAACCTTTTGCATATTCATAAATCGGGCCTTGTGATCCTGACATATGCCTCGAAATTGATTCAGCTTGGTATCCCGATTCGCCAGGTAGCTGGCCTGGTAGCTCGACCGCAGCCCTAGGATAGCTGGTAGATGGCACCAAGGTGCTGGAGAATACCGAAGACATGAGTCGCAGTGGCCTAGATTCCACTAATGTGTCGATTACCACTTCGTCATTTGATTGAACGTCAGTCGAATGAGTGCCAGTCCAAACGGGCTCTACGAATAATGTTGGGTCAATCTCGTAAATAATGGGTCGTTTACTCGGCCTGAAAAAATAGTAACATCCCAACAAACACCTTCCCAACAGTGGAGCTGGGCAACCTTCTGTACCATCCAGACTGGCCACATCCGCAAGGTCCTACAAATAAGAATAATTTAAGGATTGCTTGTACCACTAGGCAGTTAAATCTATGTAATCTCTTTTACTCAAGTGTACGACATTCTTAATTAATTACCCATGATACGACACAACATTTAGCGCTTTCTTTTTATGAGCAGATTTCCTTCAAAATTACATACAACGTAGTTCACTCTTACAACAATGAAATGTGTGTCTTTATGAAGCACAGTTCAAAATACAAATGCATTTATTGTTTTTTTTATATTGCGCTATGCCATTCAATGTTAGGAGCCATCAACAAGCAAATTTGCAACAGACATCTCTTTTTGGTATTTTATGTAAATTATTCAATAATGTGAAGACAACATACCTTAGAATCTATAGAAGAGGAGTCTACTACAATGTGGCGTCGCTGAGTCATGATGTGAATGCAATATAACCAGATCGTACAACCAAAAATCTGAAATAGACGAACTTCATTTACTTGAATGACCATTTCCCCGACTGTTGGTACTCTAAAATTGCACGTTTTCGCCAGAAATGTGTCCTCTCTCTCTCTCTCTGTCTCCCTCTCTCTCTGTCTCTGTCTCTCTCTCTCTCACCAAGATTTAAGAGATACTTTGCAGTAATTTACATAAAAAAAGCTCACCGGTTTGTCAACTGCGTTGTGTGGGAAATCACCGTGACACAATGAATCATTCATGATGACGTAAGCTAATTGTGACGTCATAATATATTGACAAGTGGACTTATGGGTACTTCATTATGATGCGCACGTCATTTCTCGAACTATGCGTCTACCCATCGGGAACCGTTTTATCAAGTATATTTTGCCATTTAAAAACTAATTATTCGGGAGCGAATCCGCCATGAGTTAAAAAAAATTACAAAACATTTTTAATCAATATCAGTGATAATGGATGGTGGCCAAACAATGAGAAAATGTCACGACAGGACAATAAATATCAGCAAATTGGTATGATCCCATTCAAAACTAGTCGTAATATGAGATTTGATTACCCGAGAAAAATCCGTGAGTTGATGGTAGGGGTTGGGGGAGTGACGTTTCCCTTCTTGGGCTAAAGATATACCAAGTTTTTACCATGGACCCACTGGAGGCCTGGCGCTTTAAGTGGCCCCAGAACCCTCACCGATTATTTCACGAATACATCATTTTCTTTCGATATGGCTCTTAAATTATAGAATGTTTCTGGCGTCCAATCAGTCTCAAATTGAAAAAGGCAACTTAGGAGGCAAAGGAGTTTTTGTGAAGGAACAGGACTTCAGCTGCCCATGTCCCTCAGACAAACCACAGTTTAATACTCCTACGAAAACACTGTCTTATATGTAACATACTAAAGCAAAAAAGCACTTAATTCAAAGCGCGCAAATGATTGGTCTTAATTCAAATGTAAGAAAAATGGAGTTATCAAATACTATGAAATAGAAAGCTATGGCAATATTTTTCAATAATTTTGAATGGCAGTCTACCACTACCCTAGATTCCAAAAGAAACAGCTTTTAAGCGATCAGGGAAACGCTGAAAAACTTAATAACAGTTTCATTTTAATTTCGTAATGTCTCTGCCAAAACCACCCTACTAGGGTTCTTAGGAAAATTTCCAAACTCTCTCACTGATATTGCTATAGAAGAAGTTTCTGACATTTTTATCCATATGCAGCTATTTCTAAGGGGGATCATGGGTTACGTCCCCATAGCGCTTATCGAGTCGTAGGCACGAGAGCCCACAGGTAGAATTGGGCCAGTCATAGATTTTATCCAACTTTGTAGGTACCGTTTTACTCGGAGACCCGTACAGCCATAGCTATTTAGGTTTGTGTTGTAGTCTACACGAGGTTACACACTTAACATGTTGGACTTATTTCGAATTTGAATCCATGCTAACATAACTATCCATGTTCAAAATTTTTGAAGGTTAACAACTGAAAACTCTTGATCAAGGATTCGGATCGGAAGAGATCTACAACATCTATCTTTAACTGATCTTAAAGTAACCCATTGCACTAAGGAAAAGGACAATGATTAGAAATTGATTAACAGCAGCATGTTTAAAAAGACCTTTTCCCCTCTACTGTGGCTCTGCTTCTATCCATTTTTAAATATATCAGTACAGAGCAAATCTCGAATTTATTGAACTCGGACATTTCATTTCTCACTAAGATTTATAACTTATATTTATAAATAGCAGTCAATAAGTTAATTCCTTTTTAAATCCATTTGCTTGGTTGTTACAATATCAAACCATGGTCTGAATTTTCAAGCAAAAAGTTCGAGATTTTCTTTTTTGCGAGTCCAATTTAATGATATACAATGTACTTAATGCGATGTGATAATGACGATGCAAATAATTGATCTAATTGCTTCGATAACAGTAGATTGAGTGGAACTTTCATGAAATTTGTTCTCCACAACCTATGAATGACTATAAGGAAAATATGTTCCTGTATCAAGTTTTCCTATAACACGGAGGTAATGCAATGGGTCTGTTTTCCAAGTCTCATCACTTGATCATTGTCTGGATACAACACAATGACGCTTATTAGGCTAACTGAGTCTTGTGTTCGACATACGTCGTCTGTTAATTTTTCACATTTTTCTCTTTTTCTCAAGAACCGCTGAACCGATTCAGACCAAACGTGATCACTAGCATCAATACCTGAAGAGAATAAAGATGTTTTCACTCTCCGCTAGGCTTTACCGCACGGGCAAATACAGTGAAAACGCGTTTTATTAAACATATCTCCAGGACACAAAACATTTCTTTATCAGGTACTTAATATGGTTGTGATGACAAAGTGTAACTCGAGCAAAATACTGGCCTATTGGGCCTCTTGTTTTTGGTATATATTCCAATGACCATTAGTAAAGTGAGTGGAGAATGGGGGAGAGTGGTGAATGGAGGGGGTGTTCCATTCAAGTGACAATATATTAATATCTAGAACAAAAGTTGTGTCAAATAAAACAGGTTCAATGAGAAATATTTTAATAGTGAAGAACATATAAACTGATTTAAAGTTCAAAGCGAGGCAATAACTTCGCAGTTGAGCCCATTAATACCGTTGCAGTGCATCTCCTTCTTCACTTCTTGAGGTCAGTTTGGGCTGGTCATTTTGACCATACACATACATAAATATGACAGCCATATGACGGACAGTTGATGGTTAGAACAGCAGAAAAGACTACACGATAGTCTTGAACATGAAATTTAAAGTTTTACGAGATAAGTTATGTGACAAGGAGAAAATGTTTCCATAGCATAATTTGGGAAAGTCCGGTAACTGTCTCTCTTGAATGGTGTGATGTAACTTTCCATCAGTCAAACACGATTTTGACTCTGTTGTGAGCATATCCGCCTTCACTTCCGCTTCAGGATGCGGGACGATGTTTCCATCTTGTCTATTTAACTGAAACACAAGACGAAGAAATATATTGATGAGAGAAGATTTGACAGAATTGCGGGATGAGTATTTCTATCAAGAATTTTGATATTCTAGAAACTGATGTCGATTTTTCCTATTCTCTTTTGACTCTCTGTATCACCGAAGAGATGCAATCGCTCTGTCCTACTGACGAGAACGAGACAGCCGAATGTTTGTATTAAAAGGTGCTTATCATTCATATTGTCTCTGTTATGAAATACACATCTTTAACAGATGGACATTTCCCGAAGTTAGATGAACGCGATTGAACTGACGAAAGCAAAAAACCATTTTTCATGGTACCTATTACCTTTTACAATCATAACCCGATAGTTAAAATTCGCTCTTTGGTCTTACACTATGAATTTCTATTAATTGTACTTGTTTCACCTTACATCTTTTCTAAAGAAATAATAGTGACATTTCAGGTGGGACGTTCTGGAAATGTTCAACAGCGGATACTTACGGTAACTCAGCACCTTAACCTTTCCACTGTTGTAGCCTGTCCACACTTGCTGGTCACTATGCACGGCCATTGACCAGGGGATATCCTCGTCGATATGAAGGATCTTGAGCAGATGTCCACTTCCGTCAATTAGTTGAATAGAGCAACTATAGAGCTCGGCGATTAAAATATGGTTCCCCTTATCGTATTGAACGTCTTGCGGACAGAACTGGACAGACTCCTTCCCACAATAACGTTTGGAGTTTGGGATTATTTTACCGTCTCCAAAGTAACGGAACTTAAGGCGGAGATGTTTGTCAAGAATAACTAAATGACTGGTTTCATATTCCGTTCGATTTATAACAGCTATGTCACCGGAAGCAGGACTAGCTGCGATCCTCGAAGGTTTGATGAACAACCTCTTCCGGTAGCCATCATACTCTGCCTCTGCCATTTTGTAACCTCTAACGGTGTATTTAGCTATTTTCCGTGTGCTGAAAGCGGATAAGGCATAACTCCACTTTTCCACTAAGCTCATCAAAAGGTTTCCCTCCGTCGTCAGACATATGGCACGAGGGGACAATCTATCAAGATGGAAGAGCGTCTTTTTGGTTCCGTCTAGTTGTACCTCTTGTATTGTATGACTGTCCGGACAAGTGACCGCTATCTGACCTTCCGCAGTATTAGCTATGCAGGCTACACTTGTATCGAAGCGGACTATCTGTTTCACCTTACCCGTCCTGGTAACTAATTTGATCTCGTTCGTTTTCTCCAGTCGTATCCAACAGTCGTCTGCCGACGCATGCGATGGACAAAGGAAGCAAACTCCATAGGAAGTAGTCGTCTGCTCGAATGCTGATGTCACGGTCGTATCGCAAACGTTGCAGCCGTCATGTTGCTTTCTCCTTTTTGCATTCTCACTTTCTTCACGTGTCTCAAAATCGTTTCGCACACGTTGTGGATGGCCATCTTGTTGGATTTCGATATCACCAAATACATCCCTGAGATTGCCGACGGTTCCTGCTCCATGCACAAAAGCAACATTCCTAGGTGATCTCATGGGCACTACTTGCCTTTTAAGCTGATTATTCCTGTGAAATTTCTCAGTCTCTATAATTTGGGGGAAATTTTCAGATTCCAAAGCTGCTTGTATTATTCCTAGGGTCTTGAACGCATTTAAGAGTTCTGAGTCGAGTCTAACCTTGGCTTCTGCAATGTCGTATTCGTTGTTGTTGTGGTGTCGCTCGCAAATAAACACGAGCTGCTTTGTGTATTGGTTTACGGCATCTTGTATGTCTCTGCTTCGCCGCTGTATCTTGTCTGCAACTTCTTTGGACCGATATCGGTTTCCTTCGCTGTGTGTTTGAAGCTTTTCTAAATCCTGCTGTATCGCCAAAACCGCAGCCTCCGTTTCTCTGAGATTCTGTAGCAATGTCTTCTGGCGTTCTTTCCCAACTTCTTCCATTTCACGAAAAATGTGGCTGGAATGGTCAAGTTTTGTGCACTCAGCGCAAACAAGCTGGTCATTACACGAAAAACAAACCTTTACAAGGGGATGCCCATCATGTCGATTGCAATTCATTGTTCGGTAAATGTTTTCGACCGCTTTTTAATTGCACGTTAAATAATCATCGGTCTGTTACTATTGATCTGCAGCTTTCTCATTGAAGTACATTATATATATATGTATTGGCGTTGTAATAACGGCGAGAATCTCAAGTGTGTAATACCCATAACAGACCGCTGATATTCAGTTATTAGTCCGTATTTTTGAAAGATAAATGGGTTAGGGTGAAATATAGGTCAGAATTAGATCGTATTAGATAAAGCTGGAACATATTTCATTTAGCTGATCAGAAAAGTTTGCATTATTCATTATCAAAATTTCAATGGGTGTCTATAGCCGATTAGCTTTGGCATTTTACGGAAGCACTGCGGCGAAGTACTGTATGTGTGTAAGAGAGTTTAACATATACATGTGTGGTGATATAGTGTCTTGATTGTATATAAAATTGCTTCGACAACACGACTTCTTTAATTTGGAATCCGATATTCCGAAATTTCATGACATTTTACATTGATTCATATATCCATTACCTTCGGATCCCTTATTAATGGTTCTCGGTAGCAATGCTACGTCGATGAGTTGCAACCAAACAAATACATGAATGTATTGAGATGAGTTCATAAAATTTATTCAATAAAGTGATCAGAGAAACACCAGTATTTTTCTGAAAGATATCCTCTTTTTTGTCTTAACGGTTTTTACGTCCTTTATTACGACCTCATGGCCTTTCAACGGACGAGAATACGGCCTTAAGTTCGCTCACCTAATATGACAGACATCGGAAACTTGTCAACACATCCGTTTCTAGGGACATCACAGAATCACAGAGACGCTTGAGTTAGCTTTAAAGTGACCCGTAATTGCACAAATTTTACATAAAATCATCATTTACACCGTGACTGACAATTCCATGGAAACACACACACACACAGACACACACACACACACACACACACACACACACACACACACACACACACACACAACACACACACACACACACACATGAAAATGGTAGATGGGTAAGATTAAAGTTTTGTTTCGTTTTTGTTCTCTCACATGAGCCATATTTCATATCACAAACATTTCAAATAATGTTATTTTCTAATGTGCTGGTCTACAACTCACTTGTTAAATCGTATCAGAAACCAATCATAAGTGATGATTTTAAATCATCATCTTTTCCAATATAAGGTGTGCATAACACAAGGAGGCGTGGTCTATTATCCATGGTCGATTTTCATTCACTTGATTGACGGCAATAAATTACTGACTTCCGAGGATTGATTGACTATTACGGAAATGTACATGGTATCTAGAAGGATGTTCGACTTGTGAAAATATGCATTAAAAAAAGGTACCAAATTTGCCAATGAAATGCTTTATGAATGGATTTAATCACAGTTTATGTTTCTTTTGGGAAGAGTCACATGTTACAATAGCCAAAAGCACACGTGTTCTAGGTCATTTAGGTCAATAGTTCGCGTAATACAGTTCAGCAAAATGGCCGCACCGAAATATATATCGGTCTAGAAACGATGTCCAGACGATAATAAAGGAAATTTCAATAATACAAGTTTTGCTATTTCCACTCACATTTCTGATAACGGACATACAAATATACATGAGAATTATGCTAGTAAATGAAGTTATATTATCGAAACATATCGGGGGGGAAAAAATCCAGAATTCGTAATTTCTAGATTACCTGCGTTTCATAAGCAAACATATACAGAACTGTACCAAAGATCACAATTTTTGAAGTCCGAGAATTTTGGGTTCTAAAATGTTTCCTTGATAATAAATGGCGACATTTTTATTTCAGTTCGATGTTCACATATTTGTTTTTCAAATCGTTGATCGTCGCGAGGGCATGAAAAATACGTGAAATATGACGTCATCGTGGACACAACGGACAGTGTGTCGAATTATGAAGGTAAACACTTCTTTTAAATATGTATCAGTAATAGTAGGTAACAGAAATATTCACTATTTCTGAAATCGATTTGCATTGCGAAGTTTTTTTTCTGATCGGGTCGTTGAAATACTGATGTACATGTATGTTATTAAAAATTGTCCTTTCTTTGGCACTCGGAGACTATCATACGGACACAAGATTTAGCCTCCCATGGCGTATACGGTGTCATACATGTATATAGAGTGTTCGTATACACGGCGGCCCGAGAACGCCCAATACACAGGCACTTGTATATAGCCTAATATATATTAGAAGATGCAGTGAAATATATATCATATTGTGGAAAATTGTGCCGACTCCCTGTGCTTTTATATACACCAAACTTGCGGAACGAATCAAAATAAAAGAACACAGGTACGCTTTATATAGCGTATTAAATAACTTAATTTGTTGTAATTGGTTGGATTAACATGTGTATATATAAAACAGAATTATACAAAGTGTCGTTGTGTTAATTCTTAATCAATAAAATTGTCAAACAGGCGAATATTTACACATATATAAACAGCATTTGGTTAAATACATATACATGCACGCAATTTTTCTTGTCATTTTTTTTTTAATTTTTCAAGTGATAATAACCTTTTTATTTATGTCCGACTTCAGTGTGATTTATTTTCTTTGTGAGTAATATTGATGTCAGCTGACATCAGGATTTGAAGTCCAGGCAATATGGTTGCACATTATGATTAAAGTAGAACTTTATGTACATTGATATTTTTCTCTGGTAAAAAGTTATCAAAACTGAAGAAGTTTTAATGTTTCAGAGTTCAGAGGTCACACTCAACAATCCATCAAACTATCTCTTGACTATGCTGTGTCATCCAACACATTGTAATGGTTGACTAACATGACTAAACAATAGGTAGAAAGAGAGGCCATGTTGTCAAAGATTAGGTCACATAACATACATTGGAACTTTCATCAGCCCTCAACCAAACAAATCTTAAACTGCATCACAGTATCTTTTCCTGTGTTGTAACAATTTCTCCAATAAATATAAACCACCTTTAGGTAGCAACAACAAAAACAAATTGGCTACTCACAACACACCAGTCTGAAAGTGCACCAGTGATACCATTTAATTCTAATCTAATGATTAAAATACATATTGCCTATTATGACATGGCTTAGGGTCCTACTTAATGGTCAGTTAACACATGTAAAAACTGGTTCAGAGTTCCCAAATATTAAATGACTTAAATCCGAACCCATCCTTGAATATAATTACTATACCAATCTACATTGTCAAAAAAAAAAGAAAAAGAAAATTGACTGTCCTCTTCAGTTTGTTGCCCTGAACCGAGTTGCAAGCCCACCAGCTGCACACGCACCTCTTGCCAATACAGGTGTGTTAACTATTAGATGATCCATTAAAGTAAGCTATATCACGCTCAGTCCTTAGAGTCAACCATCCGAAATATGATTGCTTTATCAAGTTTCTTCTTCAAGGCCACAGAGTAGCACTTCACCAATATTAGCTACAAATATCCTGAAGGGTTAGAGATTAAATATGACTCAAATGAAACCCCTCCCCATTTTCATCCCTTTCCCAGAAGACTGGGGATATAACAGTGGGTGTAGTGTATCACAATTAATCTTTGTTGTTTTGACTTCTTTATAACTAATGTGCTAGGTATCTGATGGAAGTCAATGCTATTCAATGGAAAACATTCTTAAACGTTGGGAAATTCAATTCTAAACCTGGAGGAATAATAAAATAAATTGATATCCTTGTGAAAACTGGACCAAGCATGTGTGAATGTTGAATGCTTGAATTTGGATCCATTGAGGGCTGGTTTGTTCACCACTAATAACCTAACTGGAGGATGTCAACGTTCTGGGTTGAAACATTCGTGGAAATTTGGCAACTACTTGATCAGGAAGATCAAACGAGCACCAAAGGGTAGTCCTCATACATGTGACCAGGATATCATGACTCTGAACCATATGGTTATTGAGAAGAAGTTTTTAATTATTTCAATCATTTGACCCCTTTGACCTTGAATGAAAGTCAATGTCATTTATTTTAACAAATATGATAGCCCTTCTTCCCAGCATGCTACTGGGCCAATATAATGATCCTGAACATTTTGCTTATTGTAAAAATATGTTTAAAGAATTTTTTTATATAAATTTGGCCTGTGTGACCTTGAACGAAGATAAGATCAATCATTTGAACAAACCTGGTAGTCCTTCATCCCATTATGCTATTGATGCAGTATCATGACCCTGGGTAATTTTGTTGTTGAGAAAAGTTGTTTAAAGGTCATTCATTTTAAGAAATATAATAGCCCTTTAATCAAGCATCCTACTGGCCCAATATCATGACCTTGGACCATTTGTTTATGAGAAGAAGATATTAATAGACTTTTAATCATTTAACCACTGTGTCCTTGAACAAAGGTGAAGGTCCTAGATTTGTTTCCATTTGTAAAATTGAACAAATGTTGTAGTTTTAACATTTTTAGAGAACTTTAAAAACATATAGCTCTGCATGGAAAAAATTAAGTGGTTTACCATAGATCTATGTAATTTGATATTTTCTTCTCAGAAAGATAAAAAAATACAATACTGATCTGGTGTCTTTCCCAAACAGTATTAGCCTTTTTACTTCATGATATTTGACCAATAGACTTACAGTTGCAAAGGAGCTTTAACTGGAGATCACAAGTTTGAAAGTCATTGGTTATGATAAATTACAAGAATTCAATCACATTTGTGTTGTTACTGTCTTATGTATAGTTATCAACTCAGTCGAGGAAACAACACATTTAATGTGATTTCACCTGTACTTTTCACTAAAAATCTCCAGTATGGGACAAAATGTTTACACTGTGCACTGCCAAATTACCCAAATCTATTGAAGGCTCAAAACCCAAACTGGAGACATGACAGATCCTTTACAGTTTAAATTCAGAAAAGTATTTAAAAACCTCTGACTCAGGAAGAAAAAGATAAAAGAGAAAACTTCAGTACACATATTTTATTATTTAAACCTGAACAGTGTTCATATCACCACCATTTTCGGCAGCAATACTGTTTTTATTGATATTTTCCGCAGTGTCATCTTTAGAGTCGCTCTTGCTAATTGTAAAGCAGTCATCTGCGACATTGTCATCTGTACTATTGTTATCAACAAGATTTCTGCTCTCTTCTGTGATATTGTCATCTCTAATGTTGCTCACAACACTGCTACTTTCATCTACAACATTTTTGTCTTGGCAGCTGCTGTCCTGAACATTGTTGTGTTCATCTGCACTGAAATTGTTTTCGCCATCAATAACTTTTTCATCTGCATTGTTATTGTCACTGCTCTTACTTTCAGTTGCTTTGCTGCTTTCACCTCTAAACTTTTGAAAGTCATTGTTCGCTGCCTCTGGCTTCGTAACAGATTTTTCAACATCAACATCTTTTTTATTTTCCTTTGTTTCTACTGGTGATCGGACAACTTCTACAAGATTGTACTTACGAAACTTCATAAAATCACGGGCAGTTCCCAAACAACATATATTTCCTATCACTTCAACAACAACAACGACATCTGGATTATCAAAATTTACGCTGTGCAGTGGATTTAGTGTTTTTATGACCTGTCCTATAATCATTTGAACACTTGTTCTTGCGAGATCGTTATTATTATTGTTTCGTGATTTGTATATCACTGAATATTTCAAACCGACACCGAATGGTGTCTGAAATTCTTCAACAAGGAGCTTCTCTGCTAATTCTTTGAGGTCCTTTTGATAGGCCCTACACGTGCCAGCAATTGGAAGAAATCGTAATGCGTATCGTGTCTTCTGGATATGATTTTTTGCCAAGTCCGTGAAGATGGTATGTGCTAGCTGACAAGGGTCAGCCAGTGAAGTCTTGATGAAAAGACAGTTGTGGGCCTTGGTTTGTACACTCTGGAAACGTCGCTGTGAGGATGAGATTGTGGTCTTAATGGCCTTGACCTCTTTCTGAAGAGCTGCCTCAATATCTTCTTCCTCCTCATCCTCCTCGCTGCTTACCTCCGGACCTCCATCATCGGCTTTTGTCTCATCTTTTGGCACCTGTGTTAAATCAAAGAAAAAATCATTGCCAATGTCATCAACATCAACAAAGATACATATGCATACGTAGATGTATATATACCGTATATACAATTTAACTGTCTTTTTATTTATTCATTTCTTTTGGAGAACGATTTCTAAAACTTTTACTCTGAACTTTTTCTCATGCATATACATTCTTCTGACACATCAAGTTATGCCCTGAAATAGCAATTCAACCGTAAATATTGAATCATCCACATCTGATCTGTTGTAGTTTGAGTTATCTCCCTTTGTACCTGCTGTATTCTGCATAAAAATCCTTCAACTCAAGCTGTATTTTAACTTTACAGAATTATTCTAATAGGATATCAAATCGACAGAACTGACATCATGTGCTGGTTATGACTTAAGTCAGAAGCTAAACATGTGATCTTTTCTTTAACAAATCACATTATACTACAATCAATACTGGTACTCAATTATCTGTATCATTAAAATTTCTTACCCCCCATTGAATCCTGAATTGGCTATTTTATGTAGAAAAATAAAATTGTCACAACTCTGCGTTTTTTATATGATTTTATCTCAATTTCCAATAATCAAATTATGTCACTGGATTAAACTTCCTAAAGGACTACAATTTAATATTTGTTATAAACTTCTTATATCTATTTCATATAGAATGTTTATGTTATTCAAATGATCAAATTCTTCTAAAAAAATATTCAAAATAGGACTCATGCATAATTTCTTGTCTGGTAATGATGAATTATTGAAAACAAAGGGGAACAAAAACAAGATATTGAAAGAAGCTGAATATCCAATAATTTAGCTATGATGAGCACTTTGTATAAATTAAGCAATGCAAGATCTCTAGGTTTGATGTAAGTCGGTTAACTATCATTAGAGGCTCACCTCCTCTGGTCCATAGATTTGGTCAGCGTACTCGTTCAGAAGATTGTATGCCTCGCGGGTGGCATCCTTTTCATGACTGTTACAAGTGAGTAAGAAGCCACGGATCCCGATTTCCAGTCTGTTAATTTTGCGCTTGTTTTGCTGTGAACATTTCAGATAGTAAGACTTCGGTCGCTTTTTACCCTTCTTTCCAGAATTACCACTCATATTGGGCCAGCTGTTCTGGAAAGGAAATCAGGAAATCAATAACAAAGTATTTAGAAATGCCAATAAGCTATCACCACATCTTGCTGTAAAATTCTTGATCTCTATCTGAATGTACAATGTTGTTACACTATCTCCATTTTGTTCAAGGCAGATCTTTGTGAGATAGGAACATATCAGTGCTCTCATATCGGTTGTCATATAGTGTAGTTCATTGTAAGATCTAGTTTTGTAGGAGAATGTTCAGGTGACCTTACTAGCCTCTGCTTACAGAAATTTAGTCAGCTGAGTATTTGGTTAGAATTAGAAAGGTCATGGTAATTAGTTCTAGTACTTGTACAATTTGGCCACTACAGTCTTCTATGTAGTCAGCAGAAGAGCTCCCATTGAGGACTGGAAATGGACATGGAAGGACGGTAATTATATACATGTAGGTGGTCAGTTATACCAATGGTCTCAACTCGACAAATTCCAGGAACTTCTCTTAACACACAAGTACATGTGTAGATACTGAAGGTCTCAACTCAACACATTCCAGGAACTTCTCTTAACACTGGAGTACATGTGTAGACTATCAAGGCTATACAAGTGGGGCTAATAGTTTGAAACCCAATGAGGAGAAAGGTATTTTTAATCACTCCTTCCTATCAAAGATTTGGTGCTGTGACTAGGATGGAAGACTAGAGGGAGTAGTGTACTAAGTGGGAAGAGAGTTCAATTCAATCTGCTAATGTTAGGCTAGTGGGAATATCCCTTTCAAAAGTCAAGCAGTAGAGTATCCAGCTAGAAACAAAATTGTTGCTGATTTAACCCCAGCAGAGACAAGGCATTATCATTTTATGCTCAGGTCTATTACACCACATTACTGTAACTTACAGAATTCAGTTATGACGACACAGTCTATGATTGGAACTTATGTTATGTAGGTTTGGTATTACCCGCATACCGTATTTAGATTCATTTAAATAGTTGCAAGATACGAGATTTTTTTTTCATTTAAAGTGGCATGATTCAGAATATACACCTGTACTTCACATCGTCCTCGAAGTTTCTTTAACAATAAACGAGGATAGTCAGTTACCCCTTCGGACAACTTGTGGTCCGGTGCACCAGGCTGAATTGCCACTAATGCAAAGAGTCAATGATTACTTGCAGAACTGAACAGCTAATCAATTAAACTACTAACACGTCACTGACCATCTATTCATATTGTTCTAATGGCAGGTAACAACGCTACGAACCTGTCTACTATTCTTGACAAGCATGCATGTGGCTGTCTGAAGAATGCGGAGTTATCGCACCGGAACTGAGACACAGAGGCGTTAACCTTTCACATTTACACAGGAAGTTAAAAAAACTACGAGTTAGCAAACGATCAGCATCCCACGTTTGGCATCATGGACGTGTCGCTTGAAGATTATATCGTTGATAACAACGTCAATTTTCAAGTTCAAATAAGGTATAACGACTGACACAAAGATTCGGGCCATTAAGATGGCTTATTTTGACCGAACATTGAAGTTTTCAAAGTGAAACTGGATAACAAATAACTGAATCTAATGTGAATAAGTTTTAATAATATTTAAACATTATAACAATAAACTATGTAAATTGTCCAATTCTGTGTTAAAAATTATAGAAATTCAGACTAAGATATAGTAAAGAGAAAACTTATGAATGGTTTGATATCATCAGATGGAATCCAAAAATTGCAAATGGACTAACACTGGTGATAAATGATATTTGGCTGAAATGAAAAGAAACAAATGATTTCTAACATTAATTGATATGAAATAGGCATTGCCTGAAAGCGATCGCAAGTTAGCCAACAATATGCACATTTTGAACAACCTGATCCATGTCTGCACTCAAGCGTGTTTTTTAAAATATGTTGTATATCTCGCAAGATTTAACAAAACATCGGCACATGCAAATTTACCAATATATCATCAGCAGCAGCAACACATCTTCTTTTTCTTCTTCTTCGGTCAAAATGATTTTAATCCATTCAACTGGTCGGCAGTTTTCATTGCGTGCTGCGGCAAGTGTATTGTGGGTAATGAAGATCCAGCCACACTTCCATTTAAAGTTGATCGTACGGGCAGGTTGTTGGAGTTGACTTATCATACACACATAATACCCTAAAGCGCTCGCTGCGCTCACTATAACATTGATCATAAATGATTGTCATGCATATGAAGACACTCTTGACCATTGCTTGAGTACAATAGCTTTTTGTTTTGTAATCCCTCCTTGGGACTCCTTTATATCAGACATTTGACATCAGGCCCTATAAACTCTATCCTGGAAATTAAGTCAGATTGACTTACCTCATGTCCTAATGTCTCGCACAAAATATATTATTGCATGCATTTACATACTAGCACACAACGCTGGCCGAGATATTTTTCTTTTCAGATATGCAACAATTCTATCTTGACACTAACTATATATCCAAAATTATCATGTTTTACAAGACGCGTTCATTCAGTCCACTTCGGTTGACACTTGGAACAGTGCCGCATGATCGAGAATTTCTGCATATTTAGTGGCTATAGCCTATTTCTATATTGCCTAATAACCTGCCTTGCATACCATCATGAAAATTACAACCAATACAGATAGCAGTCATTGCCTCATTAAAATCATGAATCATAATGAATAACGATAAAGAGCACTTTGTATTCCTTCTCTTGGTTATACCCTCTAAATTTTTCTCATTCCTAACACTTTATCTATCCAGCGTATCTCCTGATTATGTCCAAATTTTTTTAAAGTTGTTGCAGTTTTCTTTTCTTTAAGTTGGTACAGCTGTACCAACTTCTCTACCCAATCAGTACAGCCACCTGACTGGGTAGAAAAAACTGCAACAACTTTCAAAAACATTTGGACACAATCAGATATCTCTGTTGGTTGTAATCTTTACAGTAGTATGCAATGCAGGTTATTTACATAGAAGTTTTTACATTAAGATAAATTTATTTACTTTGTAAAATGATCCATAAAGGAGACTGGGACCCTTACGCATATATTACAAATTTGTTGTTCTGTTTATAGTAATCCAAATGCACTGGCCAACAGAGGTCAGGACAGAGGTCGTGGTCGTGGAAGAGGTCGTGGCCGAGGACGCGGAGGATTCCAGCAACGTGGTGGACTCTACACTTCAAAAACACAGAGAAATCAAGGAAAATTTGTTGCAGCTGCCAAACCCATATCAGTGACAGTTAAAAATAACTTTGATGCAAGAGACACTATTGCAACAAAAAAAAGACCACTGGATGCCAGAAATAAACTCGTTGCTAAAGCCAAGCTCAGTGATGCTAGAACAAGAATATCAAATTTGAAAGGAGGTAGAGGTGGCTTAGTAAACAAAGGACAATCTAATAAAGGATCAGATGCTAGAGCAATGATCCTCGCCAGAAAGAATGCGAAACAACTTACGCCTGCAGGTAACAGAACTGGAGTTGGCGCTGTACAGTCTACGTCAAGTAATCTTCTGCGAACTGTAAGTTATCATTTATTTTGATACTTTGAATTGAGAAAAATTTATTGTGTATCAGTATTCATGTCATATTTTCATTCTTTGTCCAGGACAATTAATTTCACCATATTAGAGACTGCTCCATGACCTATCACTCTCGTACTAGTGACTGCTGTCATGACCTATCACTCTCGTACTAGTGACTGCTGTCATGACCTATCATTCCTGTACTAGTGACTGCTCCCATGACCTATCACTCTCGTACTAGTGACTGCTGTCATGACCTATCACTCTTGTACTAGTGACTGCTCCCAAGACCCAAAGGTCACAGCCAATTTGTTAAAGCCTGTATTGTGTGATGTTGGTTTACTTTAGTTTTGGAGTGGCCATGCTATGATGAAATTAGATTTACATCAAAGGGAGATAACCACTAAAAATGTTCTAAGAAAACAGTTATTGAGATTTATTATGAACCAATTTTTCAATGTTTTTAGGTGAATCAGGATGTGTCTTCAGGCAATTTCCAGATAACAAGAAAGGTAGGTACACAGAAAATAATGGCATTTACCTGGAATATAAAGGCATACCCAAAGTATAATTGCATTTATCCAGAAAATAATGGCATTTACCCAAATATAACAGCATTATTCCAGAATATCGCCGGCGTTTATCCAGTTTGAGATTAAGTTAGCTCTGAGAGACAAGTGGGTTTGTCAAGTAATATGAATTTGTAATTTATTTAAAAATATCACTCTTGTTTTATTTGTATGAGGTTTTGGTATAATTTAGACTTTGTTATTTTTCTAATATTAACTGATATTTATCAAACCTATTATTAAGATTTCTGTCTAATTTATTGGAGGAAATTGAATAAAAAATTCAAAATAATGAAAAAATTTTTTTTTTCTTTCCTTGAATCAATAATTGGGATTCTTGACTATAAAGAAAAAATCCCAATAATTTTGACAGAAATGATAATGTTGCTCTCTAATTTGGTTTAATGTCAGATTCTGTAAATATCACTTAACATGTTGGTGTTGATAACAGGTGCCTGGGAACCAGTCTGGTGTTCAAATCTCTGGTAACAATGTCCTCATCACCCGCACACTCCATGGTTCCGCGTCAGAGTCCGCTGACGGTCCACTTTTTACGAAGACAATCAATAATCAGCAGGTGAAACACACAAAGCTATTAAACTGCCATCTGTCAACTCAGTATCTTACACAAATAGTTCTCTATAGGGAAACTGTTTTCAAACTTATTGTTATTCAAATTTTGTGCTTTTTGTCATGAAATGCTTATGATTAAGAAGTGTGAACTAAAGAAAATTTTAAATACAGTCAAACTTCATAAACTCAGTATTATGTAAACCGGTTTGGTATTCAGAGACAAACAAAAATAAGGCTATTTGGTTATTGATTTACTAACACACATGCCAATATCTAGTTACCGAAAGACGAGAACAACGGTACTCAATTTCAGCAATTTGTTATCAAAATTATATGAAGTTTTATTATGGTAATATATGTTGTAATACCAGTAATTGATTGGTGTACAATGTCTGCCAGCTGAGGTCTGATGTCACCACACGTTGTGTTGACATTTGTTAACATTATCCTTTATTTGTCTGTTCTTGACCATAATCGCTAACTTCATTCACTCTTTGAACTTAAATCAGCCTGGAAATAATACAAACAGGATGCAGTCATGACAGTCTTAGTCACTTAACATAATAGTCGCTCAAATTTTTAGTCACTCAATATTTTAATCATTTAGTCATTCAACATCTTAGTCACTTAACATCTTAATCTCTTAGTCATTCAACATCTTAGTCACTTAGTCTTTCAACATCTTAGTCATTCAGTCACTCAACATCTTAGTCACTTATCATCTTAGTTATTCAACTCATTTCCAGTACTCTTTAACCCTGAAATGTTATCGGGAAGTTAAGAGCAACAAGGGCATGGGCTTATTACAGGACAATTAATTAGAATTGCTTTATACGTGAGATTTTACTGGATAGAATTTCATGTGTATCACCAAGTATGGGTTTTTTTTTATTTCCGGGAAAATGTTGTAATTGAAATTAACTTAAAACTAATTTTAAATACTTTATTGAACATTTTTTTGAGCTTTTCTTTCTAAAGATTTTATTGTTATAGATTAATCAAACTTGTAAAGACTATAATTGCTTTGGACCAAGTTGATTTTATTCATAGCATACACACTATGATTGTTTTTCTTATTTGGTGATGTGTAGAGACATCTATTATGATTCTTTTTCATGGACTTCGAAACCTGCAGTCAAATGTACGAGGACCAGTGATTCAACTCCAAAATGAAATGTTCCAGGCTCACCCACGTACACAGCCCATGTACAGTCCGGCTGTGTATGGTGAGATGGATGACGTTGACCCGTGGGCACCAAACAGTGGCTATCCTAGTGAGAAAACTTTAACAGTGAAAATGCCACAGAGCCAGCCACATTTTAGTAAAGTTCCGCAACAAAAATTTCAGTTAAACAAAATTACGTTTGATAGTCAAAGAACAGTACCTACAACACCAATATCTCCGCCCACAGCCATGAAACGAAAAGCAGTCGGGGATATGCTATCGTTGACGACTGGTAAACAATTACGACTTGGTGGTGTGGTAACCACAACAAAACAGACACGACCAGTTACACAAGTGTCACAAGTGTCACAATCTGCACCCACAGTCATTAAAAGAACAAAAGTGATGAAACCAACCCCTGCTCCAGTTGTAGTAGAAGAGGTATGTGTTTAGGTTAATTTAACTTAATTCATGCAGATTTTGGTGAACTTGGATTATTATCATGTTTCACCGACTGTACACAGGTTGTTTGTTTATATAATAAGAATGGACCTATTGTATTATTTTTCTTTCTGGCAGCCTTTGACTTTTGAGGCCTGAAACGTTTTTTTTAATGTTACGAGCAGTCTATGTTAACAAAGGGGCCCACAGTAAACAAAAATAACTCGAAGTTAATGTCAACAAATACCATTTCCATACATTGACTAAATCATAGGTGTGCAGTGCAAAGGAGATATATGTAATTCTGGCAAAACAAGTATTGTGGAAAGGGAGATAACTATCACAGATAACAGGTCTAGGTTTGTAGCATGTAATCTTTTGAGTTTAAAAAAATTTCAGGAGGAAGATCCTGATGTGGTACTCAGTCCACTACAAGGATACAGAATCCTGATATCCAACCTGCATGTTATTGTTACTCAAGATGACATCATTGTAAGTATACAAATTCTCTAAAACTCATTTATATTTGTTGATGGGTTTAATTTTTTAGAGGAATAAACATTGCTTGGATCAGTCATATTAACAGATTTAAATATTTCTGTTTTGTTATTTGGTGAAAAACCAGGAAAAAATGAAGGAAATTTGGGGCAGGGTGGGGGGTGGAGTCATAAAACAGCAACACATGAACATGTAAACATGATTCTTTTCTTTTCTTTTTTTTGAAATGAACAACATTTTTGAGTGTAGCAGTCTGCCTAGATAAAGGACCAAGGATCTGTCTGATGGTTAGTGTGTGAAGCTAACAGACAAAGGATCTGTCTTTCAGATAGTGTTTGTTGTGTGTTAAGATCAAAGACAAAGGATGTGTCTATGGGTTAGTGTTGGATGTGTTCAGATAAAAGACAAAGGATGTGTCTATGGGTTAGTGTTGGATGTGTTCAGATAAAAGACAAAGGATGTGTCTATGGGTTAGTGTTTTTTGTGTTAAGCTAATAGACAAAGGATGTGTCTATGGGTTAGTGTTGGATGTGTTCAGATAAAAGACAAAGGATGTGTCTATCGGTTAGTGTTTATGTGTTAAAAGACAAAGGATGTGTTCTGTTAGCTAATAGACAAAGGATGTGTCTATGGGTTAGTGTTGGATGTGTTCAGATAAAAGACAAAGGATGTGTCTATCGGTTAGTGTTTGATGTGTGCAGATAAAAGACAAAGGATGTGTCTATCTGTTAGTGTTTTTTGTGTTAAGCTAATAGACAAAGGATGTGTCTATGGGTTAGTGTTGGATGTGTTCAGATAAAAGACAAAGGATGTGTCTATGGGTTAGTGTTTGATGTGTTCAGATAAAAGACAAAGGATGTGTCTATGGGTTAGTGTTGGATGTGTTCAGATAAAAGACAAAGGATGTGTCTATGGGTTAGTGTTTGATGTGTTCAGATAAAAGACAAAGGATGTGTCTATGGGTTAGTGTTGGATGTGTTCAGATAAAAGACAAAGGATGTGTCTATGGGTTAGTGTTTTTTGTGTTAAGCTAATAGACAAAGGATGTGTCTATGGGTTAGTGTGTGGATATGTGTCTATCGGTTAGTGTTTTTTGTGTTAAGCTAATAGACAAAGGATGTGTCTATGGGTTAGTGTTGGATGTGTTCAGATAAAAGACAAAGGATGTGTCTATCGGTTAGTGTTTTTTGTGTTAAGCTAATAGACAAAGGATGTGTCTATGGGTTAGTGTTGGATGTGTTCAGATAAAAGACAAAGGATGTGTCTATCGGTTAGTGTTGGATGTGTTCAGATAAAAGACAAAGGATGTGTCAGATAAAAGACAAAGGATGTGTCTATGGGTTAGTGTTTTTTGTGTTAAGATAATAGACAAAGGATGTGTCTATGGGTTAGTGTTGGATGTGTTCAGATAAAAGACAAAGGATGTGTCTATCAGATAAAAGACAAAGGATGTGTCTATGGGTTAGTGTTGGATGTGTTCAGATAAAAGACAAAGGATGTGTCTATCGGTTAGTGTTTGATGTGTTCAGATAAAAGACAAAGGATGTGTCTATCGGTTAGTGTTTGATGTGTTCAGATAAAAGACAAAGGATGTGTCTATGGGTTAGTGTTTGATGTGTTCAGATAAAAGACAAAGGATGTGTCTATGGGTTAGTGTTTGATGTGTTCAGATAAAAGACAAAGGATGTGTCTATGGGTTAGTGTTGGATGTGTTCAGATAAAAGACAAAGGATGTGTCTATGGGTTAGTGTTTGTTGTGTTAAGCTAAAAGACAAAGGATCTGTCTCTCCGTTAGTGTTGGATGTTTGACGATTGTGATGCTGAAATCAGTAATTTAGGTGTAAATTTTGTTAATTGCTTATTGTTTCATAAATACAACTATTGATCAATCAGGAGCTGTTTGGTGCCATTGGCCCAATGAAGCGAGCTCGTCTGGTGAAGCCTGGTACAGCCGAGGTGGTGTATGTCCAGAAAGAGGATGCCCAGAAAGCTGCCCAGAAATACCACAACAGGGAGCTGGATGGTCAGTAACACAGCAGTGGACTTTGTATAAAAGTGTGGGAAAGTAAAATTGTCAAATCTATGAATCATACACCACTTCTGGGAGTAAGTGTGGATTAGCTACAGGACTGACTAGTCTTTATCTTTGCACTAGTAGAGAGTGTTATGTTCTTCAGTTGATGTATCTAATTGCAGTGTGAGCTGCATAAAGTTTGATGTCTGTATAACTGAAATCAAGGTGAAATGTCATAATGTACTGATTGCTAATGTTACTGTTTTTGAATTTAAACAGCAAAATTTGTACAATACATGTAGATGATGAGATGATGCAGTGGAATGATATCGGGGAAAATGTTGTCAACTAAGAGTGTATTGAACATGATTTTAGAAGACAACTTTCTAAACAAATAAAATCATATTATTCCTTATGTCTACCATTCTGATTGAAGACATTAGCTCTACAATGCTGCTGTAAAAATGGCAGGAAAGAAACAGGAATCTGTAAAGGAATTCTTATTATCTAAATAGCTTTTGTTCATCCATTTGTCCATTTACAGCGTAAAATTAAACAACTTAACCTAATTATAATGTTTACTGTGTCCACAAACAGGTCAGTCCATGCAAGTGAAGCTCATAACACCAGCCAAAGCACAAGTCAAACAGGTCGCAGATGTCATCACCCCACCATCGCAGCCAGCGAAGGAAAAGGGAGGTCCTCTCAAGTATGTACATGTATTAGCTATGGTTTTTCTCATTTTTATGCTCTCTGCCTCACATAGAGAATTGAATCAATTTCTGAAGGCCGAATAAAACAATGAAACTTCTGTTTCACTAAATTTATATTGATAAAAAAACGTGATTTTCACATATTGAAAATTAAGATATTTGTTGCTATTAAGAGATTTGAAGTTGGACAATTTTGTCTCTGTTGAACAGTTTCTGGTTGCTATATAATAAAATAATAATAAAAAAAAATTTTATTACACTTTTTGTAATCTTGAAGTGATTTTTTAAGTTTTTCTGGTATACAGTTAAATGCTTACATACAATTGATTGATAAACTATTTCATTCTTTGTCAGACTTGGACAAAACATAAAGAAGAATCCAGGAGGAGGAAATGTTGAACTAAACACACTGCATCGGGCACTGTTTAAAACACAAGCAAGCAAACAGATTAAACCTGTCACCTTCACTGTCAAGATTTAGTGATCATACACATGTATCTCATGCTGTCATTTTCATGAATTACATTTTTATCATCTATTAATCAGTAGGATGTGTTATTTACACCGTGCTATTCACATTTAGAAAGCCAAAGCTTGATTGTTGAGTGAAAAAAGTTTTGAACTTTTGAGAAACAGACTCTCATAGTCAGACTTTAGAAACATTCAAGAAGTCATGCAGAAGAGGTCATACTCAGAGGATACCCAGAAGTACAAAATCAGTGTGTTTAAAGAAGTACAAAATGAGTGTGTTTCAAGAAGTACAAAATCAGTGTGTTTCAAGAAGTACAAAATCAGCATACTTGAAGAAGTGCAGTTTCAGCATGCTTGAAGAAGTGCAGTTTCAGCTTGCTTGAAGAAGTGCAGTTTCAGCATGCTTGAAGAAGTGCAGATTCAGCATGCTTGAAGAAGTGCAGTTTCAGCATGCTTGAAGAAGTGCAGTTTCAGCTTGCTTGAAGAAGTGCAGTTTCAGCTTGCTTGAAGAAGTGCAGTTTCAGCATGCTTGAAGAAGTGCAGATTCAGCATGCTTGAAGAAGTGCAGTTTCAGCATGCTTGAAGAAGTGCAGTTTCAGCTTGCTTGAAGAAGTGCAGTTTCAGCATGCATCAAGGAGTACATTTTTGGGATCCTTCAAAGAAAAAAAAATGACTACCTGTGTTTTTTGTAGCAGTGAACTAGTATTAGTGTTGAATTATTATATTTTTCTTATTGAATGTCACGCATGTTAAGACAATTTTCAAGTTGGTAGTTCAGACACCTGGATAAAAACTGTGAAACTGTGTTCATGCAATTTGTTTCTGATATACACAATTATTATGATTTGCAAAGTAAATTTTTGGTAGATTTACAATGAATTTCGTGGAAAAAAGGAGCTATGAAAACAAATGATAAGATATTTTTTAAGAGATCAATTTTGTAAAAAAAATTACAAAAACTACCAAAAAGAATATTAATTGAATATAAGCTTCTGTAATTTGACGATACAGAAAAGTAAAGACATAAATTTTCATATGTCGTCTACTGTTTTTTTTTTTTTTTTTTGACGCTGGGTTATTTCCCCTTATAAAATTTTTGTCTAGAATTTACTGCATAGATGCAGGGTTTATGATACCAGTTTCACGAATGTTTTACTGTACTTACAGTTGATGCAGTTTCACAGTTAAGTTGGAACATGCATATGAAAATAGAATTTTTAACATCTGCGCCAATTTCTCATTTAGATGTAATAGATATAAACCTGTTGAAAAAGTCAAATAAAAGAAGCAGACATAAGAACCTGTGACCTATGACCTTTATCTTGTCTGAGTCAAGAATCTCAGGTGACATGTCCCATGATGCACCAACTATCATCTGGTTTTAAGCATGCTTATAACAGTTGGGAAGAGATGAAGATTTTAATAACCATGGTATGGGCCGTTGACACAGAACTTGTATTACAGTGATCCAATGTTGGTTTATATTGAGGTGGGTGGCTCTCCTTTGGAGAAACCTATTTTCAGCTGTTACTTAGCCCAAGCTTGTTCTGGGTCATACCCTGATGGTCCTCCTATTCAGCATGAATAAAAACAAAACCAGCCTATCCAAGGACAAGGCCACATTATTTCAGATCCTGATACAGGCGTATTGGACTTTTGTCGTTGTTCTCAATCGCTTGGAAAGAAAGTATTTGTTTCATACAATATGTTACTAGAAATTGAGGAAATGGCATCTAGTAAAGCAGAATACCAATTTAGTTAACATTTCTAGTTTATCTAAAAAGGTTATGTAAACATCACAGTTTGAATTAGTCATGACTGAAAACAAAATTACAGAAAATTTTGATAAGTTTTACTCCCACCCAAAGTTATCAGTCACCACATGTGTCTATAGATGTTAAGTGTTTGAAAAAGTGTTTGAAAGACCATGATTTTCTTTCATTAGTGACATAGACTGTTTGGAAAGGTCATGATAAGAAAACTTTCTGAAAGTCAACAATACAGGAAAAAGGTCTAATTTCAGAAATGAACATACATTTATGATGAAGATACATTCATTGACTGGATGATTTGTAAATATTACAACTGTTTTATAGGATTGACTTTTCTCTATATTGGCAACAACATAAGTTGTAGAATTGGAAATTGTACCACAATGAAAACCGGCTTAATATCATGTATCGTTTGTCAGAAGAAAATGTGATAAAACCTTAAAGATGACATTAAACATTGAAATGTTTCCCAGATTTCTAAATCAGAAAAAAAATTTCATCTTGACATTTTTTTGACTGACAATTTGGATCTTTTGTTTAATTTTTTGAGATATGCAACCTGATTAATCACTGTCAAAGTAGCAATAGTTCTGCGGCAAACAGAGCCTGTGTTTCAATGGTAAATATTTTGACTCAATATCGACAAAATGTTCATTTGAAATAGGCTGTAATGGTATGGTATGATTGAATTGGCTCTTAAAAGAATATTTCAAGATTAAACAAATACTGGATTTGCTCTGTTTATCTTTCTCAGACTGACTGAAGATACTTGGTTTACTAAGTGTGAGCTACAAATATGATAGTAATGCATCAAATTTTTTGGACAAAATTTTAGAAATATCAGTCACGAAAACAATTAAGGAGTGATTTAACAGTCAATGAAAGATTCCACAATGCTGAAGTGGATTTATTGTAAACTTTTTACAGTTTATTTGATATAGACATTAGATAAGAGTTTTTTTACTCAGAATTTGCAGGATAGATACTTGATACCGGGAAAAGACCTTATTTACAAGTGATAAATCATTGGCCTACGTAACCTCAAGTGAATATTCATGGTAATGGCTTGTGTTTCTCAGAAACCTGAGAAGTGAACCAGTCTGTGCTGATGTGATTGTTTACTTGGGCAGACACTACCAAGATTGCTTTGAAAGCATATGATGGGCCTCCAGTATGTCATTCATTGAGATAGCCACCAGCTTCTTCAAGGAGGCTTTAAACCCAAACTACCCATAATTATCAACACATCTATTTGTGAAAAGCTGTTGGTGGACTTCATTATGACGGAACATAGGAAAGCAATCAAGATCAGGTCAAAAAAGAATTAACAGTAAACATGACATCATACGTTCGTTTTAACCATGTATTGTCAATATTGAAGTGAATCTGATGGAAACCCTCTGAAAGACCTTGATTCATAAGCATTTTAATGTATGGAGTGGGAAAGTTTTCAAAGTTTGCTCAAATGAGAAAAAGTTACTCGGGTGAAAAAAACCCGCATGATAATGATAATTCGGCAGCTTTTCCAATCTAAGATTGAGGAAAATGTATTGAAGTGATACAGATTGACAAGCATTTTAGTTAGATTGAAGAAAGTGCATGGAAATGCCATTGATAAAGAAATATTTAATACACTGATTTACAATTATACAGAGAAACAGGCCAAATAATATCATCTCGGTGACTCAGAATGTCAAGAGTTTTAATGAATGTGATCAGCCAAAAGCTCTAGACCAGATACATCTAATTAACAATTTTGAACAATTTTTTTTAAATCTTCTGGTCGGCCAAGATCTACAAGCATCTGATTGATGTACAAGCACGTTTGTGAAACAAATCAACCGAAACATGTTTCACTGACCTGATTAACAGTCCTTTCAGTGAAACAGATTGGTAAATCTTCTGACCCTGAATTACAAGCATTTTAGTGAAATTGATCAAAGCAAAGTAAAGGTGCCTTGCCACAAATTTTCATGTCTCTTCTATTGCAGATTAGTGACCATAACTTTCGAAACATCAATAAAATCATATGCATGACTGATTTACATTGAAGAAACAAATTTAACAAGTGTTTCACAGAAACCAAATAACAGCTGCATATGACTGACCCAGATTTTCAAGCGTTTCTGTACCAACAGTGTCTGACTGACCCTGATTTTTTAGATTTATTATTAAATAGACACTGATTGACTAAAAGCATCTGACTGACCCTGAGTTTTCTGAAAGCATTTTCTTTTTTTAAACAGTTCATGGAATCAGTGACCACAGGCCTTACATTGATTTGATCCTTGATTACAAGTGAGTGATTCTTCTCAATAAAGGAAACAAAGGAATATGCAATGCTGTACATATTTGTAATAATTTGTGTATACACAATTGATAACAAGCAACCTTTAATGCACCGAAGAAGAGCAGCTTTTTCCTCTTCAACGTAGTTACAACTATTATGAGGAATTTTTTTGTCGAAGGGAGTTGTAGTATTGGTGTGATTTTCCCTTTTATGGGATGGTACAATAACAAAGGACAAGGGATGGGATAGTAACGAAGGTTCAGAGATTGTACAATAACTAAAGTCGAGGGATAGTATAGTAACTAAGGACGAGTGATGGGATAGTAACTTAGCCCGCGGGAAGGGGCAGTAACTAAGAACAAAGGATGAGGCAGTAACTAAAGTAGAGGGATGGGACAGTAACTGAGGATGAGGGATGAGGCAGTAACTAAGGATGAAGGATGGGGCAGTAACTAAGGTTGAGGGATGGGACAGTAACTAAGGACGAGGGATGGCAAGTAATTAAGAGCGGGGAGGGGAAGTAACTAGGGACGGGGGTGGTGTAGTAACTAAGGATGAGGAATGGGACAGTAACTAAGAACAAAGGATGAGGCAGTATCTAAGGTTAAGGGATGGGACAGTAACTAAGGATGAGGGATGGGACAGTAACTAAGGACGAGGGATGGGACAGTAACTAAGGAAGAGGGATGAGGCAGTAACTAAGGAAGAAGGATGGGGCAGTAAGAAAGGTTGAGGGATGGGACAGTAACTAAGGTTAAGGGATGGGACAGTAACTAAGGTTAAGGGATGGGACAGTAACTAAGGACGAGGGATGGTACAGCAACTAAGGACGAGGGATGGGACAGTAACTAAGGACGATGGATGGGACAGTAACTAAGGAAGAGGAATGGGGCAGTAACAAAGGTTGAGGGATGGAACAGTAACTAAGGACGAGGGATTGGGATAATAACTAAGGACGGTGGATGGGTAGTAATTAAGAGCGGGGAGTGGGCACTAACTAGGGACAGGGGATGGGTATGTGAATGACGGTGAACTGGACGGAAAAGGACGAAGGATGCGGTAGCAAAGGTATGGGACAGCAAGGACGAGAGACGTGCACTAAGGATGAGGGACGGGGCCGACAGGACAACTGTGATGCAGTTAGGATGAGGTGTAAGGCGGTAATGCAGCTGAGAATGAAAGATGGGGACAGAAAGTGAAAACATGAAACTCATTTTTAGCCAACTAAGACAACAGGGACAAAGGGCAAAGACTGCAAAGGAAGAAGAATATCAGTGAACGCCTTATTGACTTTTTGGAAGACGTCGTAGATCTGACAGTAAAATACAGACAAAAGGACACACAGAAGGATGGGCGAACGGACAATCAACCAACTTATCTCGAACTCGACGGGATCATGTGAAAACTTCGAGATAACCGATTATCCTATTTAAGTGAACTCGAATGTTTAGTTTAAAGTTAGGCAGTGTATACGAGTTCGAGATAACGAGGTTCAACGGTATTTGCTAATATACTGTGCCAAGATTTGACTACCAAAGTATAAATTAAATCTACAGTCAGCCAAAAAAATATCTTCCATAAACTTCGTAAAATCAATATTACATAAAAGGACTCGCTTAAACCTTGAACAACAAACTTTCAAACTGTCCAATAAATATGTTATTAAAGTATGTTATTACATTGTTTATTTTAACCCCATTCGTAGGAAAAATAAACACGATAGCACTGATTTCTTAATTTGAAATTTTTTATCCCTTTAATCATTCAACTAATGCTGGGTATCACTTTAATTTAAAAAGTTTACGGCGTATGAACAAGAAAAGTGAACTTTAAATTTCATTTCAGCCCACACTTACACTGATATTGGTGTTTTAAAAAGGCATATGTACATATTTGTTTAACTTTCTCTAGCTTTTGTATCGATGTCAACATTTGTTCATTTTTGGCAGGAGAGAGATATCAAACTTCCCCTTTTTTTACTGATTGTCCTGTCAGCTTGGTGTTAAACTAACGGTTTGATCGAATTGTCAGGAGTGAGTATTACCTATCTGTACAAAACCATCAAAAACAAAAGGTGGGGTACACTTTTGTTGGCAAGCAATGGCCGCCATTGTAAGCGATTAAATATTAACACCCAAACAAATATACCGTCTATGTGTGAGGACATATTGTCACCATGATAAAAGGTTTATATATTTTGATAAAGGTTTAAACTTTCACTCAAACAAACAGATATAT